TAAGTTGCAGAAAAGTAACTAAAAAGCATGGGAGATGCACTAGGTAACTAGATGTGTAATGCCCCAGGGACAGCCAGCAGCATCTCCCAAGGCTACAACAATAAAAGGTGCAATCAGTGAGAAGCAGCAGCTACAAAAACCACAGTGAGCCACAGCCTTTGTGGAAGACATTAAAACTGTTCAGAATAGAATCATTACTAAGGTCATGCTGAGGTCAAAAAGAGAGTGAAATGGCATTAAAACATGATGAGTATTCAGAACATGTAATACTAATATTTTCCCATTTCAGAAAGCGATTATCACATGTTCCCTTTGCCTCTTTCTTTGCTATGTTTCCATATAGAAAAGGAGGCAACTCTTGCTTGACCTTTAGAGTAGTTTGTAAATAGCTGTACTGTCACTAACAATTAGTCAAAACAAACTTATTTATGACCACATTACGAAGTGTTAGACAGCCTTTAATGCCTTTGTTCACGTCAGATCACACCTTACAACCCTGAGGTTTGAGGAGTGAGAGGTCTGAGCTGCAGTGGTGTCACACAGTCTGACTCCCGGAGCTTCTAAATAGGGACCCAAGTTCTAATATTGTGTTCTGATACCTGGAAGCATTACTGCTTCATTAATGTGTTCCTTTCACACCCTTACCTGCCTCTTGAAGATACTGCTGGATATTGCCAGGTAGGCAGACAGGCATTGTAGAGCCAACAATTATTGCTGCTGGAACCCATCAGCTGTGCTGCAGCCCAGCACCAGCCCACAGCCCTCCCTCCTCCAGGCTCAGGAGTGCACTGCAGTGGATGTGATTCCAGGTTATTTCTTACTTGAATATATTTTTAAAGAAAAACAACTGCAAAGTAAGAAGCTAGGAGCCTGTAATGGATGGCAAAGGCCGTGCTCTGAGCATATAAGCTTTTGATATATTACTCAAGTTAAATTAAAGATTCCGTAACTCATTTCACTTCATTAAAGCTACTAAAATAACAGAGCAACTTTTCCACGGCAGGGATTAATTTCTGAAGCAGCACAAGGGCATTTCGTTTCAGTGCCTTCAGTGCTTGATGCAAGATGATTGAATCAGACAAATGAAAGAAGAGATCTCTGTCTAGCAAGGTGATAGTTATAACTGGGCATGTGTCTAACATTTGTGCTGAAGTACACAAGAATGGAAATTGCAAAGTAAGAAGCGTGCTAAAATACCATGGAAGGTGTGACAGAGCTGCTCCTGGAGCAGTAGGAAGGGCTGAGGGGGCTGTGAGAGTGTTAAAATGCTGATTCAGGTCAGATGTTCACTACTGCGATTTCTCAGCAGCCAGATGTTCTCTGCTGTTCTTATTGGAATGTGCTGCTTGATTTTAAACAAATGTTTTAAATTAGTTTAATGGGAGTGCTTTAGGGCACATGAATTTCCTGGACTGGACAAAACAAATGCTGTCCTACATTTTTATAAAGGATGAGAGATCTCAAGTGTCCTCAATATTTAATACCTAAAATTAGATGTCATTCCTATGTCCTATGGAGTGACATCTAAATGGATGGAATCGTTCCTTGGTGAAACTAGGGTTCATTTAAAGAAACTTCAATTGCACATAAAAATTACTCACCTTTATAGAAAAATTTTAGATTGTTCAAATATATCTATATATCTCGTTTTTGTCTCACAGTTTGTTCTTATGTTGGTGGGTATAAGTTGCTGGGTTGTCTACAAGTAGAACCTTTGCTCTCAAATTCTGAATGCAATTCAGTGTTTGGAGGATGGAGGCTTTCTGGTCGTGTATGTCAGGCAGCATTCAGTGGGGTCTGTGCATGGAAATTCGAAGTGCTCGCTGACTGGGCTGCAGGGGCTGCTGCTCCCTGGGATTCTGGTTTCAAACATTAAAGCAACTGGGCATGGAACAAGCAGACAGAGGAGGGCTGAAAGGAAATACATTCTGGAGTGATGAAATTACTTTGGACAACTTAATGAAAAAAAAATGCTCAGATCCCACTGAGCCATTAAATGATTGATTTCCACATGGAAGCACCCATCTCCGCTGACAGGCCTTTGACAAAGGCTTTAATTTCATGTGGAATAGTTTTTGACCAACAGATTAAAAAGACTGAGGGGAGAAAGGGAGTGAGCAGGTTATGAGCCCAATAGACAGGAGAATATGCGTCATAAAAGAAGAACAAAGTGCTGATGTATTCATTAAACACGAAGGCAGACCTTACAGATGTTTGGATTTTAATATTCAGACTATGCTGATTGTAAATTATGTTTGCAGAAAGAGTACAAACACTTTTAAATCTCCCAGCGTACAATTTAGCGTTTTCTTTTGATGGTTGCCTTTTTAAGTCCTGATATGTCAAGTAGGTTAATATCAAAACTGATTTCCCTGAGATCACCAAGTAATGACCTTTGGCTAATTCGGAGCTCTGAGGCTGCTGTCAGGACTTTAAACAGTGGTGGTCAGCATGAGATCGAGGGCAGCATCCCTAAGGGCTCTGAATTAATCTATTGACTCAGCCAAGCTACCGAGCAGATCCTGGCTGAACATGAAGGGCTGCTACAAACTCTGGCATTCCTGATAACACTTGTAATGCTGTTAATTTCAAAGGTTAACGCTCCAAATGCTGTGCTACTTTGATTATTATTGGAACCAAGCCCCCTCAAATACAGACTTTACCAAACTATTAAAAGAACAACCTCATAGCCATATTCATACTCCAGCTCCTTGGGAGTGCTGCTTTTTGTCTGATTCGTGACTACTAAAATGAGCTGTAATGAGGCCAAAGAGGAGCTTGACTTGTTATCTTTAACATCTTAGAGATCTGTATCAAAAGCCTTTCCCCACTTCCCCCCAGCCAGGTGGCACAGCCCAACTCCACGGCGCTCTGCTAACTGCTAAGATAAGAGCTCAGATCAGCATGATCTGTTTTCCAGAGGCTGGCGCTCAGAGCCAGCTGTTGATTGCAACATTGGTGAAGGATAAGAGCTGGCACATTCTGTTTGCTATGGGAAGAAAGAGAAAGTTCCCTTTGCTTCCTTTTCTTCAGTGAGAGTCAGAGCAGGGCAGGAAGGGGAACAGCAGAGCCACCACAGCAGAGCTGGGAACTGCATTATCCTGGCTGGGTTAATCCAATGTCAAAGCAGAAAGCAGAAAAAAGTCAGCTTGGAAACATCACTCTTCGGGCCTATCCTGGCTGAGGATAAAATAGGAACGCAGCAATGAAGCCTAAAAGCTCCAACAGGTGTGCTGTAGGGCTCATTACGATGAAATGTTCATTTGGGAAGCTCTCATTTCACAGAATGCAGGCTCTAACTTCGCCGCACGGTACCAAATTGTCTCCACTCCTGGAGCAATCTTGCCAAGGAATGGCACAGTAGTACCATTGTACAGGTCCACAGCTTTCATCCCATTTCTGGGGATTCAATGACAGAATGAATTGCAAAATAAAACGCATGTAATTGGATTAATTAACAGTACATTTCAAGGTCCTGAAATGCAGAATTAGCCATGGGGCTAAGTGCACAATGCATTATGTTTTCCCTGTAAACAGGACCTGTGCTATTTTGGCTCTGTGCCTGTACCCCAGTGAGGTGTGCCTTGCTTGAAAAGCTGCTTGGATAAGAAATGGGGCTTCAAAAGGGGAAGATAAATACTGTAATTAGGGCTGCAGGACAACAAAAGGATTATTCAGAACTGTAAAATCGTTTGAATGAAGTCATATGAAAGATAATTATACCTAAAATTGCCTGCACAGGGTCTAATATTTTCTTTACGAGGACTTACAAGATTCGCTGAATATTTATGGGCCTGGAATATAAGACTGGATGAAATTTAGAACATAAATTCAATGGTAATTTATTGTGATGAAATTCCCTAGCAGTTGTTGCCCCAACCTTTTAGCCTCACTAGACAGGCTTCATGTTGCAGAACACAAGCCCATGTGATAAATGATATCGAAGCTGAATGCCCTTGATTGATGAGTGCTGCTTTGTCTGATGGCTGTAAAGCAGTCCTGAGGGCTGAGCTCACCACTAGTTTGGTTTTCTTCCTTTTTTTTTTTTTTTTTTTAATGCATATATTGCAGAGGGCTTGTTTGTGCTTCTGGTATGGTTATCACATGCAAATGAGCACGCTATTTCCCAGATGCACTTTTCATATTTATAGATTAAATACAGCCTGAAAAATCATATGTTAATTACATTCTGAGGGTATAGCAGAATTTCTCACTTGCACATGTTTTGTTTTGCTGGAAATAACACAAATTCCAGTTCAATCTATTTAGTTCCTTGAAGCTTGCTGATAAACATTCTACACTTTGGGAAAAGCTTTCTAATTGTGACTGTTTCCAATCATTTATTACCATTAGCTCAATGCTTTGAAGTATAGCTAATTTCTATTGCACGTTACGTATTTGTTTATTTGTTAATAATCTGTATTTCTCAGGAGATGATAGATGCCACAGGAGTGGGGAAGGCCAATGGATTAATGCCAAATAAGTGGAGTATCAGAGACACATGGGCAGAGGAAACGTGAGGTGTTTTAGGAGGACCAGCACAGCCTGCAGTATGCTCAGTTAGATTAAAAAGACCATTTATTGCTATTGTCTATCAGTGTCCCCTAGCACATTCATCATGCTGAAATCAGTGTCAGAGGGGTTCCTCCCTTAACACAGAGCTTGCTGTGCCTAAAAGACAGACTGCAAATCTACAAGAGGCCATGCTAATCCTGCTAACAGAGAGGTCCAAAGTAAGATGCAGAGGCAGAATGAGAAGCTGTTCAGTGGCAGATGCATTCTAAGCTGAGAATTAGTGCAGGCGTGCTGACATCCCAGTATGTCAAAGGGCACAAGAAAGATTTCAGAGAAATGTGCTTAAAAGGGTGTGTAGCTATTCTCTGATTTGAGATTAGGCTGCTTTTGCCCTTGGGGATTGTGATGTCCCACGTTATCGAAGGCAATGCTGAGCGCATTACAAGCGAAAGGGCGAAATGTTTTAGAGAAGTCAACACACAACATTCAAATTCCTTTTTTGTTTACTCTCCCAGTGGTTGCAAAACATTCAAAATACAGAGGAAAGCTTAAAAGACAGAACTCCATTATTACAAAGAAAAGTCAGACGGAATAGCCATTCAAATCAGTAGAAAATTCACAGTCATGGGGACGGGATCAAATCTGTACAAAGCATACAGTTTGTCAGTAAGAACTGAAACTATGACACTCTTTCTTCTATGAATACAAGTTCTTTGATGACCAGTTATGGAATCAAAGATATGTCCATAATCACTGTGCTAGCAAAAATGATTAGCATGGACTTCAAGTATAGATGAGTCTCCTTTTAAAATAGCCTACTGCAGTATGTTAAAATATATCCTGAGAACCACAAATGAGAATGAACAGTTCCAAAATACATGGTAAACTGAAAAATACTTTTATTTCCCCCCTTCATTCCTTTCTATAGCTCTCATAAATCTTTTAGCAAATAGATAAATAACCAAGGTACCAAAGCAACTGGCAAATTAAGAGGTAGTTTATGTAACAAAGCATCTCTGCCTGCGAGCACATCTTGCTGCTGAGGGCAGTACCATGCAATTCTGAAATGAGAAACCACGTATGGCCCTTGGGTGCTGTGCCAACCTACATGGTTACAATCAGGACTCAAGAGAAAATGCAGACATGTGACTGTTCAGCTGTACCAGCTTAGCTGAAAGGAATCCAGGTACCTTTAGGGCAGTAAAAAACATTTCCTATATTTTTTGTTTTCCCTAAGCATCAACACTGTTTATTGATGTAGACATCGATAACTATATCAATAGATACATCTGTCTTTTAGTCTGAAGGAAGCTTTCATCTTAATAATCTTGTACTCTGTGTATTTAGTCATGGTTTTATGTACTTGAATTGTGCATGTCACACGTACCCAACCATATTCAGATTGGTATAAGTGGAAAGAAAAACTGCTTCTGGAGGAATGACTTTAAAGTAAAAGAAGGGAGACTTAGATAAGATATTAGGTGGAGATTTCTTACGAGGAAATTGGTGAACTGGTACAGGCTGACCAGAGAAGCTGGGGATGTCCCATCCCTGGTAGTGTCCAGGACCAGGTTGGATGGGGACCTGGAAGCCTCATCTGGTCGTTGGCAACCCTACCCACAGCAGGGGGTTGGAACTGGATGGTCTTTATGTTCCCTTCCAACCCAAGCCATTCTATGCTTCAATGATTCTATACTGCACTTTGTTAGGATGCAACAAGATCACAACATCTGACATAAGCTCTTGGTGGTGAAGTGCTGCACTGTATACAAGAAATCATCCTCCTTCTGAGGACTTTACACAAAAAATATGTGTCTGTTCAAGGAATATATTTCTTCTATGTGATCTTACAAACTGATACTGGTCTGTGATGAATTGGTACACTAGAGACAGAGTGCTGAATTAGATAAATTTGATAGTTTGAAGTAGCAGGCAACTCCTGTGATGTTGCTGCATTTGAATAGAATAATAATGCATATCTTACTATCTCTTCCAAAAAGAAACCCAGAGAAACCCAAATCTAATTACATTTCCATCATTAAAGTGCTCTACACAGACTGCTGGGTCTGGCAGTTCACCGGAGTCTTAGGACAAGATTCTGATAGGCTTTTCTCTCACATTCCCATGAGTGATATTTCTTCACGTAGTCTTTGGCCCTTGTTACAATTTCTCTTTTCATAATGGGGTCATCCATCAAACTCTTGGACAGCACAACAAACTCCTAAAAAAGATAAAGAAAATAATAAATTAAAAGTTCCTTGAAGTTCTTATGATACTGAAATAACCCGTGCCTGTATCTTGGCTACAGTAAAACTCTTCATCTGTGTGCCAATATTGGAAGCTGTTTAAAGTCATTTTTTTCAAGGTCAGATATCATAGTTTATTTATAAACAATGATTAATAAATAATTATATCTTTTATTCAGCCCACCAAGTCATTTAAAACCAAAGATAAATCCCAGGAGCGTTAAGACAAATACACATACAGCAAAATTTAATGCCACAAAAAGCATTTGCTTACACAAGTGTTATGAAGCCAGGCCAGCTATAAATTAATTAAACATTCACCTGCTCCCTTGCGTGGAGCACAGCTGGCATCAGAGTATCTGATCTTAAACTTCATTGCTATTGTAACATCATTAGTTAATTTTGTAGTGAGACTGGAAAACTCACTACATAAGGACTGTGACAGTATGAAGAGAAGAGCAGGCATGTGGCAACAAGCTCTTACAGAGTTGTTGCAGATGGACAGTTGTAGATCCAGTGTAAGCTCAACATGCTCTACAAAAAAAGCTGTATACAAATTTCCTATATTTGGCAAAATACTAGAACTGGCAGATTATAACAATTCCTTTTTCTGCTCATCTGCCACTCTAATTTACTTCTAGGGAAGAGAATTTGTGAACTTCAGGTGTGTGAAAGGAGATTTGATGTCTGAACTAATCTGAGCAGCTGGTCTAATATTCTATCGAGAGACAACTGATACTTCAGCTTGATTACAAATGGGCTCTGATCTTTGCAGAATATTGTCTTGGTTCAGCTCAGAAATGAAGATAGCTATTGTGCCAGAGGAAAATTAAGATCCTACACTGGTACATAATTGATAGTGCAGATAAGTGTATAAGGACAAGGGGGACAAGAAGGGATGGGAGAAGGAGATACAGTTCATGCAAACTGTCAGCAGTGAAAGGAAATATCACAAATAAGCCCAGCATTTATATCTACACTAGGTGAACTAGTAAACTATACTTGGAAACCTAGGTGCCCAATGTATTTAAACAAATATTTAGATATAAAATATTTGGCTACCACAGAACCGATGCTGTTGCTGTAATGCAAGTTATGGCTATGCATAATACATAACTATAGTGGGACCCGTGGGAGACAGTGGTACATGAAATCACATCAAACATGTTATAATCACTGCCCTGATTCTCACTGACAAGACAAACTATCAATCTATACAACTCTGACATGAAATTTAAACAAGGGGTGCACAGGTCGGTTCTGTTGGAAAGATGTGTAACTAACTGTAGATACTAGACAGATTACTTTCACATATGAATTTTAACAATAACCTCAAATTTAACAGAAAAATCAGCACCAGGCTGTAATCTTTGCACAGATGCTTTTTAGCTTGCATGGCTAATGGATGCAAAACCTACTCTCCCTGCCCAGAGATCTCAGCACATTTCTCCCCACACACACTTCACCTGTGCCCAGCACACCACATGCTCTCCTCCCTGCATTTGCAGGACTCCAGCCAAACTTCAGGCTCTCTACTGCCTTCCCAACCACTGCCTTTGGAATAGCCCTGAGGGCCACATACATGCTTCATCCAGCCTGCTTTCCATCCACAACTACCCTGCACTCAGGTGTTTCCTGATAAGTAGGTCTGGTCTAGTGAGTAACCTGAGGCCACATCTATCCGACACTGCAGATACAACCAAGGAGACTCTGGAGATTTGTTCTTTTCCTTCCTCCATATCTGCCAAGAATACAGAACAGGGAAGGTGGGAAAGTCTTACGTGACTTATGCTGGTTTCATCCAATTGCCTGTATAATCATGGTAATAAATACTCTTCACACTGAACTACATTCCAACTTTAATTTTATGCTCCTGTGGAGGATTTTATTTAAAGTAATGTTTAAAAATAATTTATGTAAATTACCTAAGAACAGAAGCAGTAATGTAATATTTCTTGACAGGTAGTCCTATTAGCATTCTTTTAAAACGTGGCTATAGAGGACAAAAACTTGGAAACATGTAAATGATAGAAGAAATGAGATCCTTATTCGCAGTTACAATACTAAGAGCTGGCGATAATTTCAAGAAAAATGACAAACTGAGTCCAAAGCATGAAAGTTGAGAAGCTGCAATAGAGAGTAACCACAAATGGAAAAATACTGGGAGGCTGGGAATGAGGATTTCTCAGCTTTATCCCTACTTCTGCTACTCAAATGCGACCATCAGCTAGGCATTCTCTGACTGGAAGCCAATGGGAAGATTTGCTATGACTTATCTAGGTTTGGCCTCATATTCCCAAAGCATCTGGCTTAGCTTGTTTTCAGTTTTGGCTACTGAGCTCAGGTCAGCATTAACTTCATTTTTCAGGTGTCACCCTTTCTTTAATTGGAAAAGCCTATGATGTGTGAACTACTTAAGGCATGGTACCATGCCTTAATCAGTAGTTATGCTGTATTTGTGCAATTGATATTCACATGAACATTTGTGCACTATTATTTTATTGTAGATGTGAAGTATGTTTCACGTTTGGTGAAGGAGCAAAATTCATGTTACTTTTCCATTATCAAACATGGTGATACACATTTCTAAGGCTACCATGAGAGAGGTGATACGTACACTAACTTAATACTTGAGGGATAACAAAATATCTAATAAGCCTTTTGTTTGCATATAGGAGTAAAATTACTGTAGATGTCACAGGAAAACACAGTGTAAATTCGAACCTCAGCAGTTAGCCAAAAACAAAATAGAGGGAAGATCATCTTATGTATATCCAGAAGTATATTACATGTGCTGTGTAATGGAAATGCTGACACATGACCTGAAGCAGTGATGAAGCAGCTGGTGGGAAGGCAGGGCCAACCCAAGGAAGCTCAGGTGTATGCAGTGCAATGCACCTGTGTGATTGGAAGGAGTAGAGCCAGGATCCACCCCCTTCCCAGACCTCATTTAAGGGTTGGCAGCCCAGGTAAAGGCATCTCAGTGGAGATCCTTGCATTCCTAAGGCCTTCTGAAGGTAAGCAGATTTGTTTGTTTAATTTTATTTCTGTGCCTGCAGCTGTTGCATTTGAGCGGATCCTCACTTGCTGCAGTCTGTGACCTTGCTGCTCTGCTTTTCACTGTGTTACAGTCTTCTTTATGAGTAATGCTTCACAGGCATTTTTCAGCAGTGACATTCATGTTATGTTTTTCTCCTGGTAAACTGACCAATCATTTTTAAAGACAATACCAACTTATCTAATACCTAAACAAAGTTCAGTGTGAGATTTTTTTTGCAGAAGCCCAGAAATACCAGTATCTATCTAAAAAACAAAGCTAGAAAATGAACTGAGAAAAAGAGAATGAATGTTCTTTCAATTACTACAGGAATCATACTGATGCTATGGTGATGAAAGTAAAATGTATGGTTTATTTATTATTTACAGAATGAAAGTAAGTCTGCAATTAAACCATTTTGTATCAGCTTCAGCAGATAAAAGAACATGATTCTTAAACATCAGAGAATCACCCCAGGGAAGGTAAATGCCAGCTGTATGTAAACTCAGAATAGTGACAGATCTACCTTATGGCAGGCAAAGCCGAGAAGTTACCTGGCATGTCTGTGTACTTCATAGAGCAACAGGTCAGTATTGCTGAGGGAGCACAAGCAGTAATTGCTGGCACTGCACGCAGTCACAAATTAAACTATTCAGTACCAAGGTTCAAAGGGCTTAAAAACTTCAGCTATGGTCTGGCTTGATGTCCTGGTAGGAATGGCACTGACCCACGTTTGGCAGAGGAAAGCCATGTGCACTCAGTGTGTTGCTGCCAGTAGCCAGCTGAGCTGCAATTCCCTCTCGCAACTTCAAAAGTTTTCTTTGCTAACAGTAGTCCTTCCAGGTCCTGCATGCACTCAAACTCAGTTAGTGTTTGGCTCCTCTCTTTCTGGCTTTGAAGTTTGTTTACCTACTTCTGTTTATTTGGCTCCTTTGGTAAGTTTTCACAGATGCTGGACATGTAATTTTGAACCTTAGGGTGCAGAATAATTCTTTGTGTTTTCTCATTTAATGTGGTTTTGCATTATTTATTGCCCCAAAGTAGCTGGCTATTCTCTCTTCCTTATCATTTTTTCTTTCAGATCCCATTAACTCAGTGTCAAATATTCCATAAACTTGCAAATTCAAGTAATGGCTGGATCAAGCCATGATTTAAAAGTAAGGTGTGCAGATGATGTAGTATCAAGGACAAAATGTTTCATAGCTTTCACCTTTAGTTTAACTGCTATTTCCATCTCCATATTATCTTCAGTGATTGGCAAGACTTTATTTTCAGACATGAAGCCTCAGCATATATGCAAATAGTTAATGGTGACTACAATTCAGCTCAAAATATTTCTACTTGCCTATAAGATGTGAAAGTTCACTTCCCAAGTATAAATGAAGAATACCAAGTGATCGCAATTCAAAGTGATGTCCACTGTATAAGAATCAGTTTACATCCCTCTAATTCAGCTTTCAGTGGATAGAGCAGTCCACAGACCAGACGCAGTGACTTTTAAACTAACCATATTGTGAAGCCTCTCCTACCCAGATCAGTAACAACTTGAAATTAAGCAATGTTTCATACTCCTGACCTATACATACATCACAAGGAAAGAGAATCTGCTGAACTTAAGCACTGAAGATTTCTTCAACCTTTTTCTTAAGTCTTTGGTGGCCCAGGTTCTTCGAGACAGGGACAGATTTTCCCAGCCACCTGGACACCATACTGATCTTTCCCCAATCCATTTAAACCACTTTCTTTGAAGTGTAACATACTGCAAGTCAATCACAGCGTGAAGGACTGCAGCCATTCACATCTACTAACCACTTTGAGTATCCTACATGGTTGTGGGGTTTTCTTGTTTGTTTGTTTCTGGATTGAGGTCTGTTTTTAGCTTTGGGCTAAAAGAGAAGAGTGGGTTTTGTGTGCAGAGCAGCATTTTACCTTCTTTTGTTTGACTTTGCTGAGCACAGATTTTGACAGTTTGTAGTGTATCCCTTTAGACCAACTTTTCATCCTGTGACTAAAGGACAAGGCTGCGTGACAAAACAGACATGGCAGTGTCTGTAAAGGCCTGTCTCTGTGTGAGATGAAATAAACACTTCAATTTGCAGGACAGAGACAAAAGGACAGAAGAATGAAATAGTCTAGGAATTTGAGTATGATGAAGTTGAGATTTGGCACCCTCCTGAGATGACAAAACCTCTACTTCAAGAACCTTTTTTTCTTTTTCCTCATGGAGGAATGGGTAGAGTTGAGCAGCTGAAGAGAGACAGTTCTTGTGTATGTGAATAAAACCTGTTTTTTCCAGTGCAGTCTGAAAAGGGAAGCTGCAGGAGAAGGGAGGACAGAGCAGTTTAACGAATTGCCACAGAGATGGAGATGAGAGGACACATGGACATCAGGATAGGGAAAAGGGGGAGCAAACTGAGTTCTAGGTGTTCCTAGTTGTTTTGGTGTTTTGTTTTGTTTTTTTCCTCATTGTCCCTGTTTTCTTAAGAACAAAGGAATGTATTGGAAAGGAAATGAAAGTATGACAGGAATTTCTTGTGGAAGAGCAAGTTCCTTTAACTGCAGTCTATGAGAGTAGCTATAATTACCAGGAAGAACATGGCGAATACTTAGGAAAGCTGAGAGTTTCCAAACAGTTTTGGTTGATTTGTTTCTGATAGAACTAATGTAAGAACAAGGAAGACTAACGTCACTGAAGTTGTAGAAGGATATTCTACCAGATATTGAAGGTGTCAGAGTAATCAGAATAACAAAAAAGAGAATGTTTTTCCATCTCTGTTGTCACGCTGAATCCTTAAAGGCAACATTCAAGGTGCTGTGGACATTGTTTTTATTTCCAAGATTAAAACAAAGAGAAATGCCTTGAAACTGAAAGTGTTCTGACTGAATCACATTTTTTGATCTAATGTAGCTCTTGACTTCTGATAGACAATAAATAGTGATTTTAAAACTGTATTTGTTATGGTTTGGAGAGATAAGAAGCTACAAAATGAAATGGTTACTTTATCTTTAGAACCATGAGTGAAAACGATTGGCATTTTGTGCATGTCTGTGCAAGGAGAAAGTTCTTCAGCTTTGTAGTGGGATTAGAATGTCATCCTGCAAACAAAAAGTCTTCTGGCCCATCAGCAAACGTTGATGTTTTCCACATTATTTGACACCAATAATATTATAAAAAGGCTTTTATAAAACAAAATGAAACCAGTCATAGATATCATTGGAACTACTGTGCTTAAAACTATGCCTTTCTCTAACTAAGGAAATATATATCATATTTTAATTGATCTTGAATTCCAAATAAAACTTGGAACGTAAGATGCTTTGAGATCACAGAAGAAGCTTCATACAAGAATGTATGATGAAGCTAATTGGGTCTGGTATGAATAATGTATCTGAATTCTATGCCAAATACAAGCAGAATGTAGAGGGAAACACCAGAATGAATCAGAATTAATATCAGTAGAGCCATCTCTGTGCATGTTCAACATGATGATTTATCCTTGAAGTTTTGAAGAAGCATATGGAAGGCAAAGAGCTGTTTGCAGGGAATAAATGTATAAATAATTTTACAAGTACCTTTACATCTCAGCCTCCATTATCCTGAAAGCATCCCATTTTGAAAGGGTATTTCAAGAAGAGAGCATGCTTCCCCAGCAAAAAAACATTCCAGAAACTTTGCTGTAGAAACCACTGGAAACATTGAATATTCCAGGAAAAAAAAGAAAAAAAGAAAAAACATGACCTGCATGAATGTTTCCATGTCTTTAAATATAATGGAACTAACAGAACTCACCTGCCTGAAACACCACTTAATAGGATACATTAATCACACACTCCACAAAGTGGTTAATATCATACATCTTGTACTTCACAAAATTATCAGATAACACTGTTCCAGTAAGCCATATTTGATCTTGAGTTGGGTAAAACACTAAAAATTTAGCTAATAGTTAGTATCTAGGGCATTCTGTTTTATGGAATAATAAGCATTTTTTAAATGCTTTTTTCCATAACTGCTACCACGTTTATATTATTGGTTTGGGTCTCAAATTCTAAAATGAGTGAGTTCTTGCAAAATAGGTTCATAACTAATTTGGAAACAAAATATGAGATTTCTTTGTATGATGGTTTACATATGATGGGAGCATGAAATGATTTAAGAAAGTATACTAAACTAAGCAGAAATACTCCTTTAACCAAATGTTAATGTTAGTCCTTAGAAAAGGGAAAAAAAGAACCAAAAGAATTCTCTGTGTAATATTTATGAATGGGGACTTTCAAAGTAGCTATGATAACCTCTCTGGTATTTCTTCTGTAGAGGAACTCTATAAGAAAAATGAATGAACTAAGTACAGGAACTTGTACTTAATTGTACAGAAACACACTTTTTTTCCTATACATCTTTATAAATACATAACAGCAAAGCCACAATGCAAAAAAAAAACCCAAACAAAGAAGAAACCTCTCTCTTCCCACTGGAACTTTTCTTCATAGAGACTCTATTCTGAAACTTTGCTAGATTTTAGTCATTAATTATTTTCTGACTCAGCAATATCTTTGACTTAATAATGCTTTATATTAACACTTACTGCTGGACATTATAGATAATGTATTATCTAAGACCTCAGGCTCATACTTCTTTCATGTAGCTTTGGGTTGTGTAATACAAGTTCATATTTAAGTTAGTGCTCAAAAGGAAAGACGACAGATGCATAACGTTTATTCCAAGGCTTTCTTATGGAACCTTCAAAACTGAACTGCTTAAGTTGATGAGAACTGAGCCCCATTCATTTGGCAGGCTCTAAAGCAGCACAGACTAGACAAACATTCAGCAAGGCTGACACCTAGTAAAAGTTCAGCGAATTGCAAAGTGAATGTGAGACAACAGCAGAGCTTCCAGTCAGGCGATTTAACACCTAGAGTTTTAGAGGGATCTGAGGAAAACTGTTCAGTGTAAAAGTTGAGTTCCTGGAGAGACATTAGCATGTAACAGAAAGCAAACCTAACTTTTGAAAGGGAAAGAAAACTAGTTTTCTTATTGTTTTGTTACCTGGGGATCAGAAAATAGCAGTCCTGTCTCTTTATGTTTTATTATTGCTGCATTTCCAGGAATGTTCCTTGCAAGCACTGGAATATCCAAGTCCATTGCCTAGTGGAAAATGGAGAAAGGAAATAAGAGTTTATTAGAATACAGCTATTTTGAGATGTTGATGACAATTTTAAAATGAAAAGCAGAAGCAATTCAAGTTGTTTCCCATTTCTTCAGCATTATAGCTGAAAGATATCATGTCTAAGATGATCTCCTTTATGTAACTTCTCTCAAATATTTCCTACTTTTATCAGTCTACAAGTTTATTATCTTGTAATTTTGTATCAGTCTTGTAATTTCAAAAGCAACCAATCCAGAAGGTCAATTAATAGCTGTTTTATCCTTTATTCCTTCTCAAAATACGTGGATTGTTTCCTACTGGAAGTTCCCAACATATGGAAGGTTTTAAGAGGATAAAATTAATGTTCAGATCAAAGGTTGTCACTGTAACTCCCACCATTATCATGCAGAGAGAGATTTAGTTTATAGCACCAAAAGCCAGCTCTCTTCAACATAAAGTATTTGCTCTTTTGTTCCATAAAATGCATTTTATCTCAGACTTTCTACAGCATGTGCAGAACTGGAGAGATTTGGGCGGCATCAGTATTGGTGACAGTGGAAATCGCTTGGCTCCTTTCTTCAGTTCTGATTCCTATTGGTCATATAAGACTTTTGAAGGAACTTTGCTTTTGCTGGCCGCTGTCATTAAAGCCAGGCTTGTCCTCTGAGCATTCAGGGAATGCAGGAAGGCGTGCAGTGACACAGAGCTTCCAACTGAACCGTACCATGCAGGGTGGAGGAAAGATTATGCTTTCAGAACGCGTCCCTCTTTCAAAACATATTACCTACAAAGCTATTGGTTCGCAATTCCTCACTGATCAAGGAATTCATTAGAAGTAGTAGAATTAGATTATACCAGTTGTTGTTTTTTTGGTTTCTTTATTAATTCATGTCTTATATACATGCATGTTCATGTGTGTATATTCATTATTAGGGAAGCGTGGAGTTTCAACATGGCAGCACTTCAGGCTGCCTGCAGAATCAGGAGCAGAGATGTAGCACAGCATCCGTTCAAAGACAGCAAACCATTTCCAAGAGACCTCAGGCCAGGCAACTTCAAAAAATATGGCTTAGATTTTGAAGTACCCAGTGTGCAAACCTGGCCACTCAGTGCTGTTACTCATGCATACCCTATCTGAAATTTCGATTGCTATCAATGAATTTGGAAATCTTGAGGTACACTGACTGACTGTAAACCTAGAAAAACTCATATTGAGTAAGTATCACAGTGTTAAAAGAGAGAGAAATTCACTCCTCCAAATCTTTAATCTGTTCCGTGTTCCATACTGATTCCCTGTCGCTTCTGAGTGAATGCAGTTTTAATTACTGCTATTACACTCCCGGATGGGGAGTAATCCTCCTTCAGTCTGTGTAGCAGGAAAATAAAACCCCAAGGAACAAAACAAGAGAACATGTCATTTGCTTTTTATTTTTTTATAGTTCAGATAAAACTGGAGGCAAAAAAACCTTGATATCTTGACTGATACTGTACAGAACCAATTATGTTTTGAACAGTGAAGGAATGTTGCAATTTACTGAACGTGTTAATAGCTTGAAGTATCCATGAGAAACTGTGCTTAAATCACCTCTACAGATGAATTTACACTGGACGTAGAAATTCAACGGTGCTTATGGCACAGCCATCTGCTTTGCTGCAGTGAGGTCTAGAAATAATAATCACCCTTAATGACATAACCTGTTCTACACTTCATACCAGAAACTACTGTGTCAACTGGAGGTGATTCAGACAAATAGATTAATGAGACAAATGGGGAGTATTAAAAACTACAAACCAGATTTCTGAATGTAACAGTCTATTGTGATACTGCCTCTTACTGAAAATTATTTGGTGAGGAGAAATACAGTTTTTAGTCATTATTTTTGTTATAATTTAGACAAATTATTTTGTCGTTTCCTCTGACTTACTGTTAAAGAAAATAGATATGTATGTTTTCCAAAGATAGGTTTTAAAAATGTATACAATTACTGTATGTAATCAGTACAACAAAGTTTATTGAATGCCAAATTTCACCCAGGAGATGGGAGGTGCAGTGTCTGACAGGTTTGGATTGCTTTTGGCTTTATTTACTCAACTGCAGACTTTACTTGGGGTTACCACACAAGCATCAGCTTCTTTCTGATTCAGCAGACTGTCCCACTGACGGGCTGAAATGCCCTTGTGTTCTGTGTGCTGCCTGTTGTTGGTATCACTCAAAAATGTTTGTTGAACAGGGAGCAAAAATATTGCGCTTGAAAATCAAGAGCTTGATAGTGGTTTTGAAACATATTGGCATTCACTGTCACTTGCCTAAGGCCCTCTTCTCACCTCTTTGCATCTCTCCCTTTATAAAACAAAACCACAGGAGTATTTCAGATCTGGCTACTTTCCAAACAAGCAATTGTTCATTCAAGAGAAATCACGTTAAAGATAAAGGAAGAAAACAGACAAAACACAAACCACAAGACCAGCCACTTATCCCCAGGATAGTTACCTACAAAGCAGAGGAGTTTGTATTTGAGCCCAGGGAGTAGTGGAAACTGTGCCTGCACTGGTCGAATACAAATGTGGTGCCTTAAGTCAGGTCTGTCCTGGGCTGTGATCTCCTTACAAGCCAGCATAGCATCGCTATAGCTCAGCCTGGAGTCTAGAATACATTTTTTGCTTTTATTTTTTACCTTTACAAGGTCTGTTCATTTACTTGTTTCTGAACGTTACTTAGTTGATAACTCACTGAAGTTGGTCACTAAGTCTGTATTTAGTTTTCTGTAATTTCTGTACTGTAAAGGGAAATACATTTGTTCTGTCTCAAACACTTGTAGGGCAGTAACTGCTACACCAGAAAACTTCAGGTCCCAAAACACATAGGTACCAGTGAGTTATAGCTACTGAAAGACAGAACAGATGGCTAAATACATAAGATGAGGGGCTGCTTTTGCACTAGATAGCCTTAAACAAATGGGTTGTGCTGTAAATAATTACTGCATGAAGTGGATTAGAGTGTAATTTAGATACTTAGCCCATTTTTAAGCAGTAAAAATAATCATTTGCATTGTTGAGAACATATATAATTTACTGACCCAGGTTCCACAAATAATAGCATGAAGTAACATGTTAGTCCACTGGCCATCTGTTTTGTTACATTAACCTGAATGCAAATGTGCTTTAATGCTATTTCAAAAGAGTACAGGATGGAGATTCAAGCTTAGGAATCAAGCTACACAGTAAGCATTTCTAACCAATAGTGTGGGGCTAACAATATAAATACAGGTTTTATTTTCAATTCTGTCTTTTGGATTGACCCTTATTTTCTTCCCCCCTGACCTATGGCCCCTCTTCAATTTCAGTGCTCTCCAAGATCTTTTTCTTCACATGTTGTTTAAGAATGAATTATACCCTATGGTAGAGCAGACTGGCTATCTTTCACTCCAATGTTTACTTTCTTTAAATTGGCTTTTACGTGTGTCTGTGTAAATCTAGTATGCGTGGCAATCTAATGATTTTTAGAACAGTTGTAGTATAACTGAAAGCATAAAAAAGAATTAAATGATTAAATGGGGCTGGATTCAAAACATTTTGCTTTCCAACTGTATAAAAACAGACAAAATTTTCTAGCAGTAGTGGTTTGCATGGGAACATGCAGGACTCTTCAGCTTTCTGAGTTTGGGATGTATGCTAAATGTTTGCTTTCACATTATTTTCTCTGATGCAAATGCCAGACAGAAAACAGGTCAGTTAGAGCAAAATCACCAATATTTAAGTAGTAAATGACAAGGTAATTAGCAATGGTTTCTAGTTCTTTCATACCTAAGGCAGGTTTGAAATTGAGGTGGTTATATATTTATCTATTATATGCTTACCTCATACTGAAAGCAAGCTAGGAGTGTGCTCAGTGTTTACAAATTCATGATCTAGTTCAATTTTGAGCTTTCAAGAGAATGAAAGCTGCATTTCCAAATTCAAGCAAGATGTTACAACCAGCCTCGGACTGAAAGATTTTTATGCATCGTTTTCTGCCTTATTAATTTAACAAGATCTTAGCAGATGGCTCTTCCTACTGCTGACCATCTCAGGCAGAGACTTCACTTTATTAGAATGACACTTCCTCTGAGAGGGAGAGATTTTTACAGCAGGGTAATTTATAAGCAGGTCATCAAATCCCACTCTACAACTGTGTAGTAAACAGATGCACAGTACCCAAATCTTTATTGCTTCAGAAGAAGCCTTCAAGCAAGTCTGAGGTACTGACTGGGCAAGCTTCAGGTAGTTTCTTAAGAAGTAACTAAAAACCAATTTTGCTTTTAGAGGTGATGGGAACAACTCTAAAACTGCAACATAGCTTGAGCTTCCTCCCAATTATGCATTGTAAAAGATGTTGGTTTTTTTTTCTGATGCAAACCAACAACAGCAAAGTCGGAAGTGTAGGAATGATCAACTCTTCTGCCTGTGTAGAGATTTTCAGTGAGAAAAATAAGTTCTTAGAGGTGTTTTTTTTTTTTTTTTCTCTCCAATGGACAGAGATTTGCATCTTGAATTGGTGATAAATAAATTAATCAACATTGATTGTGCAGTGGGAACTTAAGAGTAGCTTTCCAGTAGAGGTGATATTTGACAATCTAATAGCCCTGAAAGGTTAACTGAATAGTTCAGCCACTCAGGGAAGAGCATAAATACAAACTTTCCTTGTTGATTTATTAGATTCAAAACTTGTTAGAATTGCACTTCAAAAGAGACCGAAAATCAGTAGTCCATGAAGCAGGCTCAACATCCTTTACAGCCTTTACATCATTTACTTCTGAAGTAAACTGGCCTTATCATTTCACTTTAAGTTACCAGGTATTTGCTAAGATGTTGTATGTACACTCCCTGTCCTGAGAAAGGCTCTTTCCTTAGCTTTAAACTGCTCATACGTGATGGGAAAACTATTCTCATAGTCTCATCAGTTCTAGGCCAAGCACACTAGCACTTCTGTTGCAGATGCCTTCTCATTTAACAGTCTTTGTTTTGCTTTTTTTTCCTCCTCTTTAACTCACTGACATTCTCAGGAAGTAATCAGATTGATTTTTTTTGGTCGACTGTTCTTAGTGCTCCTGAAGGGAACATGCAGCTGGTTGGAGGAGGTGACAGGTACTTAAGTTTACTTCTCTGAGTCAGGGACTGGGTGGGGGCTGTGCACTGTGTTGGTAGCACTTCATTTCATCTCAACTACTGAACATAAGTACTACACTACATAACTACTACTACATGTTTTTATCAGCCACGCTGATAAACTTGGAAAATACATTATTTGTAGTATTTTTTTGTTTATGTAGACAGTGTTGTTGCTGTGAAGAAGCACATTCTTCTACCCCTTCAACTTCTTTTTTGAAAAGAGAAAGAAATTTGCTATCTAACCAGCATTTACAATTTGTAGCGTGCTCACTTCCTTCTTACATCTGATGAACGTTAAGATGCATGCTGAAGATGCAACATGTGATTATTCAATAGAAACAGCAATAGGTAATTCATTACTACAGATTATATAATAATTTCTGAGATTTTGAGATCATAATGAACCAACGTTCACCAGCCACCAAAAAAAAAGAGTAAAAAACATCAGCCCAAAGAACTTCCCTTTTAAGAACACTTTTTTTTTTTTTTTTTCTGGTAAGTATCTGGCACTAAGCTAGTCCTACTCTATATATGAAATAGATCTGGTTATTAACTTTCAATATTTATAGGAAAAAAATAAAGAGAGAGCATGGAATTCATTTGAATGAAATAAAAAATACAGGTCTTAGATTGCTTTTTGAAAGGATGTAAAAATAAATGAGAGTCTATTTTAGTAACATTATCAGGAAGTGGATGTTGAATTAAGAATAATTACAACCTCAGAAAATCAGAACAACTCTCATGTTGTGTCTGTGTTGTTAATTTAAGAAGAGTGATAAAATTATACTCTCTCCTTGAAGAAAAAAATGGGGAAAGCATAGAATTCTGTCAGATTAACCTATGAATACCATAACTAACACTTGCAAGAAGAAATAGTTTTGTTATGTCTTCACTGGCTTTGAAACATAGATGTAAAATGTTGACATGCATTTCTAGTGAGAAAATGCAATGTCAGATTCACTGTAACCTCAGTGAAAAACCTCACTGCTAAGATGCAATTACCTCCAGAATTGCAGCAGACATCCCCTCTGAAATGGAGCTGTTCACTACAGCAAAGCACCTTCTCATAGCAGCATGAAGATCATCCTGTGGCATCTCCTGTAATAAATGTACTCCAGGTGCCCTAGGAGTAAGATGCATACAAATAGGAGACCTCCTATGAATGTGTTAATGTGGTCTAAGTTTTCTTGCTAAAACAGAGCAGTGATAGAAGGTAATCTGAGCAGTTCAGACATGGTTCTGCTGTTAACAATTGCTTGCATGCGTGATTAAATAAGATAGAAAAGAAGATAAAATGTGGAAAGGTCTACAAAGGTCTAAAATTTACAGAATACCCATTGTGAGAAAATTATGTCAAATGTGTTTTACCTTTTGATTTTCTCCTTCATCTCATGTGTTAGAAGTGGATCGACCTGTACAAGGAAAGAGAGGTCTGATAAAGCTTCCCCTTCCACTTTCCCTTCCCCTCCCTCATGATAATAATTACATCAACTTACTGCAGGTCCAATAATGCCAAGGTGAACAGTGGGGTCCTTTCTGTGCCAATCTAAAATAGAAGAGGAAGATCTTTCTATTAATCAAAATTCTTCATTTTTAATACCATTTTAAAACACAGAAAATATTCCTTTTCCTCTAAAACCAATGTAAATAGCTGCAAGAGCAAAGTTTAGCTTGTTAAATAACATATTTCTACATAGAGGACTGAATATGTATCTGATTTCATGCTCTGCCCTCAGATTACTCATCTGTATTCAAAAGATTGGCATATCTGAAAGTTTGCAGTTAGCATTTCTGCTTCATGAAATGCCTTATGATTCAAGAGTTATTTAACTAAGCTCAGATTGTAATTTTAAATCATCTTTAGAGAGCAATGCTCTTTAGGATGCAGTGACCCTGGCCACTAAGACAAAATGATTTGAAGTTTACCTGTTTCGTAAGCAACTGCAACCATTACAACTAACACTGAGTTATTATGTACTCAAGAGTAATCTGCCATTCTTCGATGACTAGAATAGAACTCTATAACAGAATCAGCTTTTTGGCATTAATCAACCACATGTATTGGTTGATTGATTAGGCAGTGAAGGCCTAACAAAGTAAATGGAATACCTGAGGCTATATTTGCAGCTTAGAATATTTGAACCTTTTCAGATACAAGCTGAGAATATGAAAAAACATTCATCTACGTGAATACAAGAGAACTTTATAACAATGGGGGATAAGATTTGCTTGTAACATTTATAATATTACTTAATACACATCAGATCAGTGTAACATCCACAGGACAGTAAGATAAAGTTATTTTGAAGTAGACAGACCCTTCTTTTGTCTTCCATTAATCTATATTGTAGCAGCAAAACAGTCTTCCTAAGAAGTAAAAGCATCAAATATTGCTTTGATTTTAACACTGTTATTCCCAGCAGGCTGAAAAAGACACAGTACAGAAACAATGCATTCAACTGATCAGTGGTTACATGAGCATTCTTTAGATATAGTTATATTATGAAATGCTGGGCATGAATGAAACAGCTCATAAACATTAAATTAATGCATCTAATTCTGGGAACCAAGCAAGGTACCTACCTGAGAATACATCTACTAAATACAGAGGGTCTTTGACTCTTCTAAGTCCGCATATAAGGAGAAATATATGTAAATCTTCTGTATCTGCAGGAATGTCTGTAACAAAACATTTAAAAACAATCTGAATGCAGATAAAAGAAAATTAAATCAGTGCAGTGGAGAACATAATCATGCATATCATTCTACAATGCATGTGAGTCCAGTTCCAGGGACAGCAAGAGGATAGGCTTTGGATGAATTAAAAAAACTGGTGATCAGATTTTTCAACACCAGAAATCAGCTTTGGCCATTATACAAGAAATGTGTTTCTCATTTTTTTTCTACCTATGAAAGGAGTAACTTGGCATCCATATAACAATTCAACACCTGTTTCAAGAATATTGTAAGGCCTGGGCAGACACAGGTTGCTGTGAAAGATCAGGTAAAGGTCAATAGTTATCTAGCCCTAACATGCCAGCAGTGCCACAGCGTATTTAACCAGAAGTTCAATTGTCACAAAGCATTTATTTTAACACTGTTGTTAAGAAATACAAATATAAAATAAGTCTGGAAAATATCTCAACCTGTTGGTGTTTAGCATCAAAAAATCCCTCATGAAAATCTACAGCAATAACCCACAAAAAGAAAAAAAACGTTCTTGAATATCTTTCCTCATGTCAAACGCTGGGATTCATGTGAGCCTTGCATCAAAACTCTGTCTACTGGGGGAAAAAGTCAGAAGTATGGTGAGTAATCTACTGCTGTTGCTTTTAAAATTAAAATCCAGTTCAGGGATTTTTGTATGCTCCCTGTCGCAGGGCTCATTATTGAGTCAGTTCCATTTAACTTTAGCAGCTTGAGCTGTCAAGAGTGGCTGCAGCAGACAAGGTAAGTAATATTTTACTGGTTATTGGACCAAAAAATAATTTGTAATTTATAATATACACAAACATTTGGACTGAAAAAGCCATTCTGGAGAAATGGTCCATTAATACTGTTTGTTTTCAAGACATGCAGCACTGGTCTCGATTCATGACAAACTCAACAAAACAAACAACTAGAACTTGTCAGCAAAACTGAGACTGCTGACACCAATTGCTTTCAAATTTGGATTTTTACATTCGAGGCCCATGGCACTTAAAGATACTTCTCTTGAAAATCTAATGACTATCAGTTTAATTATTTAACTAGTGAAATTACTTAAGTGGCTATTTCCTTTATTAGATATTACGCTATTTGACCACTATTATTTTGAATAAACAGGCAGATTATTCACTTTGTGCAACTTTACCATGACCTCCTTCTCTACTGTGGAATGTTTCTTCTCAAATCGCAGACTGTAGACACACCACCCTGAGATTGGATCCTGCACAGTCTGTTAAAGGCTGTCCAATAAGAGCTATTTGAGCAAGGATTTGCCTCTCCTATTCAATTTAGTGAAGCGAGAGTCCGCTGTAGTTTTACTTTATTGAATGCTGTAGATCTTTCTCATCACCTAATTCATTTTTACAGGCAGACACTCACCAACTCAATCCACTTAGGAATATAAAGACATTCCTGAGAAGACTATATTACCAGCACATCACAGCCACTGTTTAGTACTGTAGACTTCACTCATTCACTGTCTGCTTAAAATCAAGCTTAAGTAGCACCTTGTTAGCTTTTTTCCTCATTCACTAAAAATTATTGGATTTACATGTCAAGATGATGCCTGCATCAGTTTTTTCTCCCACATGTTGTTTTCTCAAGCTATGCCAGCCTAGTGTGAGGAAAAAATATAACTATTTGTACAAGAAAGCAATCATTTAAGTATGTTTTGTCCTCATAAGAACTCTAATAAGGGAAATAAAATAACTGCAACAGCTGCCTTTACTAACTACAGTCATCAGCTGGGTGGAAAAAAGGTATTCAAAAGAAGTTTTTTCTTTTTCACTTGAGCTTAAACAAGATACTGAGTATCTGAGATTTTGCTATCATTCTGCCTTTCCCAGATAGGCTGCTTAATCTGTAATAAGATACAACAATCCTTTTTGACTCCCTTCTAAAATGGAAATACACCAGTGTGGCACAATTAACTGGAGGTATTCAGTTATGAGACAGAATGAGAGAATGAATTATATTAAAAGTATCCAGTGGAAAATATCTTGATAATGCAAGGGAGTTTATTATTTATGATTTCATTGGCTCCTGGTTTGCTCCTTATCTGAAATTGTGCATCTTTGTCACATCAACTGCTTTTAGGAAAAATAGTAACTTTAGTACTAAGATATACTATAACAGTTGGCATTTGGCACTTAAAAAAAAATCTTTCCTTAGATGCCAGCAAAACAAAAGATGAATACAGGCAAACAGATAGCAGAAACTAGAATCACTTCTGAAGCATGAGTAAGGACATCACTTTTCTAAGAAAGTAAAGAATAAGTAGAGGTGTTATCTAAATTGATTCTGAAGAAGCAGATTCATTTAACTCCATGCCTCTAGGTGCTATCAGGAAAACATGTAGAAATCATAGATGTATGGTAAAAAAAAAATACTGCAAATCTTTAATCTTATTGTCATGCTGCAGGCCTAATAATATCAAGCACTAACTTGCTGAGGGGTAAAAATGCAATTGAGAACATTGTATCTTAAGTGACATATTTTAGAATCATACAATATCACTGAATCTAACTCCTGACTCCTCACAGTCCTAAGAGGACCTCACCACCTGCTCAAATACAGACAATTAAAGTATTTTTCTTATTCAAAAGTTGTCTCCTTACTTTTATACCATGTTTTCAACACATCTGTTAGGCTCATTAGTATAGACTTTGTTAGTTATCTGCTTCTAATCACATGACTTCTAAGTGTTTACAAGAGTGTTTATTAGGGTTTACAGCTTCAACCACATTCCACAGAGATCAAAAGGAGCCTTTCATCAAGGTATGAGGACATCAAGCCTGCCTGTGATCTTAAGTAGCTATATCCCATCCTTGAGCTAAGTTGTTAGAGATCAGACTCCATTTTTGCATGTACTTAGGCTGTCATTTTCTGTGATCTAGCTTTCAGCAAAAACTTGAACTTTCATTGTCTCTCCAAAGACAAGCATCTTAATTCAGAACCAATTATGAGGTAAAAGATTTCCAGATTATAAGGACAGACAAAAATATTTTGAGCATGTAGTCTGACCTCCAGCCTGACCCACGCTGCAGTAGTTCCCTAAGAAAGTATTGAGTTACTAAATAAAATGAAATGATTGTCTTGTTGAAGTCTGTGTTGAAATTTCTACTTGCCTTGGCTTTTTGGTTTGGCTACTGTTGTTTACAGTCTCTCATACACTAAGACAAACACTGCAACTACACTGCAAATTGTCTTTTAAAATCTTCTGTTGTATATTTTACCAATAAATATTTTAACAGCAGCCCCTGCAAACAGCGCAGCTTGCACACCAACACCATTCAAATATCACTCTCAAATCTGCTGCCGAGACTATGAAAAAAAATCCTAATTCCACAATTTTTGTGCTTTGATGGTAATACAGTTTTGTACTGATTGCTCCACATTAGGAGAATTTTAAACATTTTAAACACCTCGAAATTCCAAATCCCTAGAAAAGCAATTCAAATGAAACTCCTAATTGGTCTGCAGTAAGTGTAAGGGTATAGCCAAAAATATGCCTCCATGTGCAACATTAAGTGGAAATTTTAGTGTGCCACTAGCACTGGAAGCAGAGACAAGACTGATGAGTTGAAACAGTCATTAAAACAAACAAGCAAGCAACAAACACTGAATAATCTGATGCCAGTGTTCAAGTTATAATTTAACAAGCACAGATGCTGAGTTATATTATTGTTTGCTTTTCATATACTTTACAAATTATTTTGCATTTTTGTATTAGTACAAACTAGGCAAAAGCTCTCTCTGATATATTAGATGATATGCACCTTAGGGGAGCTTCCTCCTCCCCTGTCTGTTGACTGTTCTTTTAATCATAAGTTAGTTGGCGGTCCACTCAATGCTTGGGCTGGGCTAGCAAGAGACAAATCATTTCACTTCAGAAAACTATTAATCTTGGTGGCACTGTGCTTGTGTGCCATGATTTACTAAAACAAAATAATCTCATAGTGCTCAACTTAAAATTAGACACCCGTCTTACATAATGGTATACATTTACTTATATGATAAAGCAATTGAATCATGAGGATTCATTAGTAACAGTAGTTGTAGTTGTTCATTAGTAGTAGTAGTTGTACTACGAGAGACCAAATTGATGACTACTGAAATGTTTTCACCGCTGTAAAATGCATACAAATTCTTTTGGGGAAAGATAGCTGTATTAAAGTATTTAATTATAGTATTGCCAAGATCAGGTGATTTAAAATTAGGCCATCAGCCCTACATGCCATCGTATTGGTGAAAATAGAGACGAATGTACATCAAGACCAAATAATTAAAAATCAATACGAATTTCCCTTCTTTACCAGTTCCTCACCTCAGCTGCTCTTCTAAAAAGGACATCCTCACTTTCCATTACACAGCACGGGCAGGTATTGGTGCTTTAGTCTAACCAATCTTCTAGGGGATATTGACCCATACCAGGAATAGTTTACCTTTTGGTGTAATTCAGAACTGGGCAAACTTACTGAACTTACAATCTGAATGCATTTACTGATTGATGTTCTACCTGAATCTAGTGACTTTCATATCATTAAACTATTTTATTACATGATCAGTTAGCCTTCACATTCTAAAATTCCAGAATTATGTCTATTTAAAATAAATACGGTGAATACAGAAAAAAAAGTGAGCTATACCTGCATTTTGTAGAAATCTACACCAGTCAAATGTTTCAATGGGAGTAGTCCTGATTCCTGTGTTGAAGAAAAGAGAAATATGACATGTTTGTTTCTTGGATGGCTGAACCATGCGTCTTAAGGTCTTGCTATAAGAAAACATATTAACATATTCCTCTCAAGCACACCTCACTTCATACACAACAATACAGGCAATGGCAAAGAGTTCGACTTCAGAGAAGTCAGCATTTCAAACCAAGGCCCATTTCAGCAAAACATTTCCAGAGAAAAGAAGATAGATACATAAACATACAGGTACTAAATATATTAACTAAATAAATTGAATGCATTAGTAAATATTTCAAAACTCTCACCTTGATATTGGACATATATTTTCTGGCTAGCATCTGGCTTCAAAGAGAAGGAGAAGAAAAGTGATTTATAGTTCATCATAAAAGATCTGCTCAGTCTTTACAAAAAAATCTAGTATAACAATATGCTCATCACAGTGATTTTCTTTTCACAAGACAGATCATTAGAAAGTAATATTTTAATAAGACTAAAAGCCAACAAAATCAAAACTTTAAATTACATTAACAACAAGAATTTACAGTGTAAAGGGATCAGTTTTGTAATTAACACGATTATCAGGTCAGTAGAAGCACGTTTTTTTAGTTTAGCTCTGTGTACTTTCTCATAATCATTAACTTGATAAATGGCACAGAAAAAGAAAATATGTTCAATTACAGAACAGCCCTAGCTCTCAAAAACTCTGGTTTTCAAATAAAAAGTACAGCTAGTTTTAGAACCACAGACACATCTATCCGTAATAGAAGTTTAAAACACACCAAGCATGAATCCAGCCCTTCTTACCACTAACCTTTTCAAAGGCTGCTGCCAAATATACGTAAGACATGTCTATACAGGAACATGGGCCAGGAGTGGTTACTGCAGTTATTCCCAAATAAGAATTGCACATGAAATTATTTTAAAATAGATATAGTAAAAGTGGTAATTGCAACACTTCCAACGTTTCTCCTGAAGAGTTAGTACACTAGTAATTTAGCATATTATTAAACAAACTAGTTCTTACTTCATTGCCTTTCTGTAACTCCAACCATGAACTTGTGGAATATGAAACTTTCTTTAAAAAAAAAAAAAAAAACACACACAAAAAAACAAAAAACAAAAAAAAAGAAATCTTCTCAGGATCTTTCAAAAAGGACAACAAAACAGAACAAAAACTAACAATCGAATGCACTCTTCCCCTCCAGCAAAAAAAGCACAGTTTCTTTGAGTTCAATTGTAAACAGTCTGCGTTCAGACAATTCCTACTTCTTTTAAAAGCACTGGTTGCCTTAGGAGTAAGGTAGGGAATTGCTCAACTCACTCATTCTCCAACAGATTTGCTCAATATTACCTCGCAAGTTTCAGTTTGAAATCACATTCTTTCAAGCAGTTCTAATGATACTATTGCTTAGTGTACCATCCCAGAGTCCCAAAACAACCTTTGCTAGAACATCAGTCTTTGCTGACTTAGGGCTAAATGCTCTTTGCTACCATTTCACCATGGAGAGAAGCACAGTCCCCCCAACAGACTGACTCAGTGAGTCACAGAGGATCTGACTATTGTGCCTCTTTTTAAGGTGCTAATGGGAAAAAGAGTCCCATATTGCCCCTCCAACCACCCTGCTTTTGAACAGTGGGAAATGGCCAACACAGATGATGCACTGCTGAACTCCTCAAGCTAAGAACTGCTATGCAGACTTGTCTCAGTGTGGTGACATAATGCAGGTACAGTTACATGAGGTAGAGCACAACGCTGCTGGATCACATCACTCTGCACATTAGTTTTCCCTTCTCCTCTCCCATCTCCACTCCAACCTCAGCACTGTGAAATCACATCCGAAGGATGACTTCAGGGTAGGAAGAAAAAACAAAAATTAATGCAGAAACAAACTACTAAAGCAACAAATTCCTGAACCAGTCCACTCAGGAAATAAGTCAAAGTAGTGGTGACTTTTTTTATTCTTCCACTTGAAGGCATTTTGTGAGGATTTTTTAATTCAGAATTTCTACATGACTGCCCCTACAGTTCACTGCTCGGTCATAACAGTCTATTTTAGTTATTAAAGATGTACTGGAGAAAGAAAAATAGTAAAAGAAATGGACAGAAAAGGGCTCAGGAAGAAGTGAATAGTCATCAACAAGCAGCTCACAGATGGGAAGAGGACAGTTCCAGAGAATCAGAGAATCCAGAGTGAATCAGCCACATCACAAAAACAACGTGAGCAAGCAGGTCCAGTAATAAATGAAGTGGAAAAAATGTAATGCTGTTTATGTTACAGTAGAAGACTGAGGACATCTTTCAAAAGACAAATGAACTTTCGTGATCCAACAATTTAAAAAATAAAGAAGATGGTTTCATATGTTGTTTCATTACTTAATACTTCTTGGCTTTTTATTATTATTATTTTTTTTTAACTGTGAATAAGTACCATTTTAAATTAAATTCGATTTTTCAATCCAAAAAAAACCTTGCTAATGATGGAGACAGCACTGCAAGCTGAAGGACAATTAATTTTTTGGACAAGTGGAAGAGCTGAAATTCAGAGCTAGGAGTTAAGAAGCAATGAAAGAAAAAGTGGAAAGAAGGTAGATGGGGCAGGGGGCAGATTAAGCCAGCCTTGTCTCTATAGCTGACATACTGCATAATCCTGCCTCAGACTTTGGGGTTTAAAGATAAGTTTTTTACTTCTCTAAAACTGTTACATTTCAAAAATAAGCTGAAATTAATTAATTATTTGGTTTCATGCTCTGCAAGACCCTTAATGACTATGCAGTAACTAAATATATTCCTGCCAAGGCTGGGATCATCAAGAAGAAAAGAGTAGAAATTGTGTAACACGGAGTACAGATATATTCACATGTTATAGATCAATTTTATGTTATACTCTTTATTTTAAATGGTAGTAGGGAGAGTAGAAAAATGAAATTGAATACCAATAAAACTGGCTTAGGTAATTCTTAGGTACCAATTTTACACTATTGACATAAAACACTGACCATAAGCACAAGATGTTTGAAAGTATTTCACACTTACTTAGAATACAGATTATTACATAAGCTGTATTATGCAATTCATAATTAAGGATAATTTATCCAATGTAATAGGAAACAAGTTGATGGAAGATACAGGCCTCGTGCACAGTGGTATTGCTTACATGTTTGTAATGTGAATTATTGGCTAATTAATAAAGCACACATTATAGGAATAATGTATATCACATTAGGGTGAATTAATATGTAAAGAGTGGTAATATTCTGTGAGCTGTGTTATGGAAAGCTGTATTTATGCTTTTCAGTGTTTGAAAGAAAATGTATGACACTTGCTCTCACCCTTTATACGAAAATACAGATCTGAGGATCAAGTCCAATTCCTGACTCCATACAAGGCAACCTAAGAATTTCTCATCACTGGTTCAACTATGGGAAATAAAAATGTGTTTCTTACTGATATTTCACAAGATAAGGTGACTTAATAGGGCAGTCCTGACCTGCTCATTTTATCCCAGTTGCCCCTTATTGGTGGAAAACTAATAAGCATGCCAAAAAAAAAAACCCAACATCTGGGCTAATGAGGCAGTGCTGCCTCATGCTACCCAAAAGCACTTGTACTAATATGTCTGACAGCTCCTCATTGCCTTACCCTGATCTTCAGAAACCAGCACTGCCTACTTCCAGGATCTGTCTCTATTTTCTCCACTGCCAGTCTGCCATCAACTCACCTACATGAAGGTGATAGGGTTGACCCAACCTGTTTTCCAACAGCACCATCAGATACTACAAATAATTGCACTGAATGAATGAGTTAGAATTGCAATCCAGCAGGTATAACAGTACCTACGAAATAAAGAGCACTCAGAAGTTCTAAGACCGTGGTCATGGTATATGGGCAAATAATGAATGCATGGAAACAAACTAACAGATGAAGAGAATCCTAATTAGTGTTAGTCCATATGTTTTTAACTACTGGGTTTCAGTTGTTACAGAAGTTATTTTCAAAAAACAAGAAGAAAATGAAAGGTCAGCTCCAAAAGTAATGTCTCTTATTTTGTTATGTTAGCCCACAACGTCAGAGGCAGATGCTGATGGTATGGCAACAGAGGCTGAACCCTCCCACCAGTATTCCATTACAGTTTGTTGCCACGTGACAAATGGCAGCAGAGAGGAAGTCTGAAAGAATGGTGTCTGACATGGAAGTGCATATGAAGCAAAGGCATATAACTGAGCCCTTCATATAGAAGAAGATGCACCCATTGACATTTGCTGATAATTGCTGAACATTTAAGGAGACCAAACAGTGGATGTGAGCACAGTGAGGCAGTGGGTGCTGCTTTTCAGCAGCTGGCAACAGTGACATGAAAGACAAGTCACAACCCAGATGGCCATGCAGATTGTTAGGAGTGTTTATCATTGGCAAACATGCACAGCTAATTGTGGTGTGATTATGTCAAAAAAACAGTGTTTTGTAGCTGAGAATTTGCTCTATCAAATAGTGTTATTGTGCTCTTTGTACCTGCTGCAGTTTCCATGGAAATAAGCAGAAAGATTTGCTTTCAGGGTGACCTATGCATTTAAAATTACCTAATTATCACACTATCTCAAAGGCTAAATGAAAGACTAGCTGAGGGAGAACGAAGAGATGAGGGACACAGGGAAGTGTCTCTGCCAATAGCAGGGGGCTGGAACTAGATGATCTTAAAGGCTCCTTCCAACCCAAGCCATTCTATGATTCTATGAAATTAAAATACTATTTTTACTCTCCTAAAAATTGTATGTTTTTTTATTTATTCTTTATTCTCCCTAAAACTTAAATTCCTGCCCCTTTGGTCTTATATTTCATGAACAAAAAAAAAACCAACCTACAAATGTATTAAGAAACTCAATCATATCAGTCAAATTAGCTAAGTCCTGGAGAAATCACTTGAGTTTTTCCTGCTAAAGACTGCCTGAGCTGACACTTTTACTGCATACACAGCACATTATCAAAGCAAGCATGCTCACCTCACAAAGAAGTGCAAGAGGCCACTGCACTCATCTTATGTAGCACTTAAACATTATTTAAACAGCCCGTGGAATGAATTAAACTATCCAGTTGCAAAGACCTGAGATTAATATTTGCTGAGAGACTGAAAAATTAACCCTAAGAGCTCACTGAACTCAACAGCAAAGCCATCAGTTACTTTCAGCAGTAGAAGATAGGGATTTAGCGCATGGAAGTCGCAATCTTGCAGGGAGTTTCTGGGCCCTTGGAAAATTTGATTGATAGCAACAATCAGATATGGAAACAGATGAGTTTTCATAGCTCCCTACCAATCCAGGATTCATTACAATTAATATGAAGTACATCACACATTTAGTAGATAAGGGGATTTTTGCTAAACACCTTTTCTAATAAAATAGCATGGCAGCTGAAATATGAGGTTATCAACAAAACTGTATTTGAGAGGTCTTTTATATTTTTCTAGATGTACTGATGATTCTCTCCATGAATGCAATACCTACCTTTAAATTAAATTCACCATAAGAAAATTTATTCCACATGGATAATACGTTTGCTACTAGGAAAACATTCTGTAGAATATCCTTTTTTCTGCCAAACTGAAATTTGATAGTTAGCTAACTTATTAGAAGAATTTTGTTTTGCATTATTACTGCCAGCACTTTGCTGGCAAAATCATCTTTCAAATGCACTGCCAAATGTGTTCGAACACTACGATGTTGGATGAAAATAATTCTATTCAGTATTTTTCCATATTTCATTTAGCTGTGTTTATTCAGTTTTCAGAAGCAGAGATGACTTTTAAAAAGTGGTTTTAGAAAAGTGCCATTTGCGTGCCCTGTATCCCACAAGGCCTGGTCAATAGTGCTGTATTATTGCACACCATTGGGCTTTAGCATAACTTCAGTTTTAAATTTGCAGTTCACCTACAGAAGTTCATTCTATTTCCAGTGTTGATGAATGTTCTCACGTTATTCTTCCAAATTCTTACTGTAAGCTTAGTGCAATTTTGTCAACGTAACAAAGTTTATCAAATGATGCGAAAAGAAACGATACATGCACATAGTATCAGGAGGAATCCAATAATAGCAATAATGATTAATTTCAACTGTTACAAAGAAGCACTTTACAAATACTGAACAGCATTTAAATCCCAGATCTCTTTGATCTGTCAAAGCCCATAAATATGAAAAGCTTTCTCTATAGAGAAAAAAGACCAAACAAACAGCATTAAAGAATATAAAGATGATTACAATTCTCTAGCAATTTTTATGAGACATTTTAGGAGACTGAGTAGTTACTAATGCGATAACCATCACCATCATCACATGAACATACCCACGCTGCTGCTGCCAGTTCCTTCATTTTCGTCGTGAAAGCCACGGCAAACCTAGTGAAATGGACAAAAATAGCTGGGATCTGCTGCTTAAAGTGTTTAAACATAACAAACACAGAAGTATTTCAGAAAAAAAAAAAAAAAAGATATATATATATAAGAAGAATGGAAGCTTATAAAAATAATGATAGATGGAGAAACAGAAAGCAGGCTTTCTATTTTTACTTAACCAGAAAACATTGGTAAAACAAATGGTCTTTCTTCAGGCTTTAAGTGAATTTACAATTTAGAGCTCCCATGGAGTTAAAGTGATGATTTTCTTAAAATAGGGGAAAAAAAATGGGAACACCCTGTAGTTTATCTAGATTAATACACGCAGCTGCAATCTACACAAATCAACATGAATAAGCAAACAAGAGTGTACCTGAACAACTACATGGGTAGGATTTTTTCACCTGGGAGAGAGAAGAAAACTGCTCCCGAGCCTACTTACACTTTTGCCTTATGTCTGCTTACCAGGGCTCATCCTGACACTTACTGGTGTGCCTTAGAGAAAAATTCAGCACACTTCCATCCCACACAACAGAAGAGTTATTTCAGAAACCATTTAAAAGCAGCATTGATATCTACAGTCCTCCTTTTTAGGCATCTCATTACATAGAGATTTCAACCACAGAAGTCTGATATCTAAACTTACCAAAGAAACAAGTAACTCTAACTGGGAGCTTGATGTAATACCCAGAAGTCATGAGATACTTTTATGGAGTCAGATTTAATAAAGAATCTTTGTTCATCCTGAACTTTAAGGCAACTTTTTAGATGTCATTAAATACAAACATGCTTTGACTGTTCTTAAATGGAGCTTCAGTCTTAACTGGAACCACAAATGGTTCATTCCTGAAGACTATCAGTCCTGTAGAATACATAGGTTTGAATGGCTCATTCATATCAAACATAATTTGTCTCTTTTACTAAATACTTTTTTTCCCATCACTTTCAAAAACATTGAATATAAATCATAAGTTATCAAATAAAAAACTTAAGACTCATGTTTCTATTTCATGGTATTCATGCAACATTTCCATTCTGAGATATCTCTGTAGTATCACAAGTGCAAGAGGTGCAGCACACTGCTAAGTCCCAGCCAAAACAGTGCTTTTCCACTGGAGATGTTATGTTACAATTCGAGGGCACTCATTAGAAGTCACATAAATGCTGAGTTATAACTCCTATTTTGTTTGTTGTGAGCAGACTTACTCCCATACATTTGTTTTGTAGTGTCTGCTTTATAGTTTTACAATGCATTCTACATATAAAACACGACAGCTCTACGGTTATTGAGGCCTTTGCGAATGCTTGTTTTCTCAAGATGCATCTGTTTCCTTTCTATTTTTTGCAATTATACTTTCAATACATCATGTTAACAAGCAGAAAAAACTGTTGCTCCCAAGTCTACAAAATACTGTTCAATAGATTTAAATACCCTAAAGGAGTACAGCCACCATTTAGAGGAATTTGATTAAAAACAAAACACTCATTATAAAGCCAGAGAATGCTCAATACTTTGTTTTATGGAACGTGGTGTATATTGTACTGGACAAGTAATCTACAATTCATTGTGCTTTTTGCTTAGAACCCTGCAATCAATAAAGAAAAAAAATCAATTTTTCTTTTAATAACTATGCAATGAATAATACCAGTGATAATATTGGGGAAGAGATCCATTGAGTGTAACTTCTAGAAAACTGAATTACTTTTACTGCAGCAGAGTTATGAATTGCATAGAGCATGCACTAATGCATTTTGAAACATCAGAGGAAATCCAAAACTACACCTCAAGTACCTAAATTAGTTACCATTAAAAACAACACAAAAACTGGTTCAGTATGGTTTTGTATAAGCTGCATGAGCTGCACTGGTGACAGATCATGCTTAAAACACAGAACTGGATCAGAATGGACACTCACACATTCTCTTTTGAGATATTTTTCCAATTTCCAGTGCTGAAATCTAATGTTCTCATTGTAGCCAACACATTAAATGACTTTCTTCTCTTTCTTAAGAACTGTTAATAGAACACCTTTTAATCATAGGACAACAAAAAAGTATAAACACTTTGTTTTAAAAATGAGGCCATAAGGTGATTTTCAACTGCAAGTCACATTAAGACCTAAGAACGTGCCCTACTGATTTTTCAATGAGCATCATTAAGCGCTGTCTTTGAAATCCGTTTACCTACCACATTTCTCAAGTCACTGCAGACAGAACAGCATAGCAATGCCAGAGGTAAGTTAGCTAATAGTAGCGAGAACATACTGTGGTATTAGCAAAGATAAAACCACAAGATATAAGCCTGTTGCAGACACTGAACACATTTCCTCATTGCTAACATGAACTAAAATCCATACCGCCATATCTGAACCAACGTAGTTATCTTTATGAGAAGCTGTGATGAATACAGATGATATCCTGAGCAGCCTTGGTTCAGCAATGTATTTAAGCTCTGCTAGAGAAGGTATGCAAAGAGCATCAAGGATGAGACGAGATCTAGACGCTTCCATTTATCACACCTGAGTGCACACTGAGTGCTCCCTTCCCTTAGCAGAGCTCACTCTTGGAGCGAAGCCTCTGCACGGTACTGAAGTCAGCAGAAGCTCAGACAGAACACAGCTCCATACAGCTCAGTGACCTGCTGCAGCAGATCAGTGCCACTAAAATAACATCTTTGTTGACTTTTCAAGTTAAAGCAGTTGAAAACTAATCCAGATGAAAAGGTCTAATTTTACAGCAGCTAGTGAGTTAGAGCTGCTCTGAAAGCAGCCCTGGCACACAGAAGCCTGGGACGCAGCTACAGGAAAGAACTGATGTAGGACAGGAATGCAGGTAAAGTCATTCTGTCATCAGTAAGCAATTAGTTGGACTGCACATGAAGAGACAACAGTGTGTGTCTTAATAAGACTTAGGCCATCTATTTTATTTTTTACCCTATTTGAAACGTTACATCCATTTTACTTTGGATTCAAACACAAGAAAGGACTATAGCCTCACTATGGCTATGATCAAATACAGTTAAAATCAACTGACTTTTGGACCAAGCAGAAGTTTTTTTCAGGGGGATGTTGAAATAATGAGAAATGTTGTAAAATCCCCTCTGGTTTTCTATTGTTTTCACTGATTTCTGATCAGTTCTTAACCACATTTGATGACTCCACTGACACAACACTGGAATTTCTCCAGACTTTAAAACCCCCTGAAAATACTCGCTTCTCAATTCACCAAAAAAGCAGAGAGAATTTGTGTAAAGATTTTTTTCTGTCTTTGCTTCTTTCTTTATGCAGTTAGAAAAAGGATCACATTAGCAGGAAAAAAGAACAAAAGCTCTCTATACTTCAGTCAGCTGCTCACACTGTCAGCACATCAAGTGCAAGGCCTCTGAAAGCAAGTTTGACTCTGGGATGCAAACAGATAAACACCAGTTATTTTTAGTTGTCTGCTTCTCAAACTGAGGAGCATTTTTATCTGTGTGTGTAGATAGAATTAATCTCTGAAAATATAAAATGTCTAAAATGGTTTTAGTAAGACTTTATAATGTGACTGCATGCAACATTTGTACCCCAAACAAACAGATTAAATAAACCACAGCCAAGCTTCTACAATCCACAGTTACACTAAACATCAAAGACTGTCTTTATAATGCCTACCTATGAAGTAGATATGCTGCCAAGTCACAAGTTAAGTATTCTTGCTACTATTCTTCTCATTTGTACCTGCCTTAGAATTTTATACCCTCATCACATGCATAGTTATACTGTTCTAGAAAACAGTTATGATTCAGTAGAGAGAGCACAGGACTGGTACACAAAAGCACAAAATTCATTACTTTTAATGTGATTTGAGTCATTTTGGAAAATTGCAGCCAAAGATGCCAAGCTTTACCACTACTTCTGCCAACTCTTACATGGACAAATACAATGAACAGAGGAAACATAAAAAGAAAACAGTGCATACAGACTATATTTCTATAAAGAAACTGTATTACAAAATCGTAAGAACTAGATTGAGCTCACAGCGATGTCAAGTTGTTTATCCTTTGTCCATTGGCTTACATATCTCCCAGAAACTCCAAATATTTATGGAACAGTTCCTACAAAATCTGCCTTTAAGATATGTAATTTCCTGTCACAAACCTTCCACAGATTTTACCTGGCTTCTCCTAGCACTGCTCCCATTACCCGACGTTTCTCTTCACTTCTGATGTCTTCATTTATATCTGTTCCTCCAAAGATGATTCCAAAAGGAATTCTGCTACCTGCAAAACAATAACCAAGGTGAGAAAAGGGCATTAAGAGTGAAAAAGATATATTGACAATACCATATCACATATTTAAGCAAAAGGCTTTGAAATTGAAATGTGCAGAAACTTATTTTTTATGGTTTTGGCACTGACAAGAAACATCCAATAACAGCATGTCAGCCTGTTTTGTAGCTATGAGACTTTCTTTGGCTTTGTCCACACTTAATAATACAATCAATTACTTTCTACATTTGGCAGCCCACCAAACAGCACATATATTTCAAATGGTATTCACATTTTCATAAGATACAGTGCCTCAAATCTGTGTTTGTTCTAAGTATCTAGCCTCAGCCAATCAATCCCTGCCCTCCCAAGCATTCCAGTATAATGGTTTGGGTGGCCAATGTTATAGCTGCTAAATTGGTACGTGGAGCCATACCATCAGAAAGTCACCCAATTAAATAAGGCAGTATATGTGAAATTTCACCAAAACCACCATTTTGCTTAATTCCATCCAAAAAAGTAGATCTGTGTTTATAAGTGGTTGCTCCAACACCTTTTGTGATACCCAAGTTCTGGAAGGTGCTGTAGGATGCCCAGAGCTCAGAACAGCAAGAGCAGAAGGACGCATGGTGACTGTGCACAAGATCTTATCAACACACAAGTTTTAAAGCATGAGTAAAAGCACAGATGACCCACAGTGCTAAAAGCCTAGTTTTGATACATGGCATCACAATAAATTAATATTTGATACAAGCCATGACCACATGATAGTGTAGCACTTTTCTGCTAACAGCAGTAAGCCTCACACAGACAAGGCCAAAGACGGTGAAAATACAAAAGCCAATAGCAATTTAAGATTCCTTTCTAATAGAATTTGCTTTCCTGGTGCCAGGTTCTTTTTAGTGACTGACAAGATACCAAAAATGTTCTCTCCTTAAACTCATGAAGGCTGCAGTCAATAATGTTTACTGTTGATTGTTTCAGCACTGAAAACAATTAAGTGGTCAGTTTCCACCACATTAAGCTAACAGGTAACAACCTGAGGTGGCTAATTACTACATGCCTAACATGGTTTTAAATTCTAAACAAATGGCACTCCAGCAAGAGAAGCCCCAGTACATAAGGCAGCAGAGATCATCACACAGCATTATTTTCGTATTTGTATTCTCGGATCCCTACTGAAATCAGAGCTCTACTATAACAAAAGATACACAAGAACACTAGACATAATAATGCAGGCTTTCCAAAAGCTCACCAGCATGAATTGCCTGGGGACTGCTAAGTCTGAAACCAAGAACCACGCAACTTACACTGAGATTTGATGAAACTATCAAATGATGTACCTTTGTCCACGTGAATAGGTTTGGACAATGGGAATGTGATCTCAAAAATGGATACACACTTGCAATTTCAGTAGGTGACAGTGTCTGTAATTTTGAAGCTGGTGCTTCAAGTGTATCATTAATGACAGACTAAAATTTCGTTCTACATGGCCAGTTACTACAGAACATCTTATTATTTGTCAGATAACATTCTGCCTCCTAGAATTTAGCTGGCATAAACAACAACTGCAAGTTATTTCACGTCCCCAAAAAACACAGACTCATTTTTCAACAGAAAAATCAGATTAGCCTCTGCTTTTTTGAGTTTGACCTGAGCTACACTTAGCCAAGCTGCTGTCCTCTGGAAAAGCACCTTTGTTTAAACTATCTTAACGCTAATATGATGCTCTTATCTTAATGTAGTTTAAGTACTTAATTGTAAAATGCATTATGTGCTTTAGAAGTACATTTATTTAGATCTCCCACAGAGAAAGACTTTCAGTGTTTCTGAATACTTGTTGAAGTGAATAAAGAGAATAACTAAGTTATGTGTGGGTTTATGCACGTATTGTCTTTTGTAACAGTTTGCACTTATTTTCTTCTTTTTCAATACATTTTAGGAGGTACTTCTAATGCAAAAGAGGAAGAGAATTACCTTGCAGATGTCTGCCTCCTTTATAAAGATGAATGGCCAGGGCTGCATCAAATTGATCTGCAGAGGTTAGATTCGCTATTTCAGTCAGACTTTCACACCTGGAAGCATCTTTGAGAATGCAGATGTGACCTGCATCGTGCAGATGACTCCTTCATTGTAAGAACAGGTAGAGCAAGAGAAAGAAAAAAAAAAAAAAAGAAAAAAATGAATTTTGCAGGCATTCAATTACATAATGTTTTCCCTTAGTTTTTGTTCCTATATTCATTGTCTTTATAATAATTTTGTTCAGGTGACCATGAAGCTAAAGCAAGGGGTTTTCCTGGAAAAGGTCTTCACCACTGCGCACACAGCCATACATTGTAGCCCATACCTACTTTAAGGCCCCAGACTATCAATGCTTGGGGAATCAGTGGATGTGAACTCTGGACCAGCACCTCTCCTGTGTCATTATCTGCTCAATTTGCTAAAAAGATTACATTTGAATAGAGAATGAAAGTCTTGGTCTTGGATAACCTCAGACCCTTGTTCTGGAGAAAGGCCCCAACAAATACGTCCAGCTACATCATGCTGTTAAGAATACCTGCTCCTGTTTGCAGGAACAAAAAAATGAAGGCATAAATAAAACTGGAAAGTTAAAACTGTTTTCCTTCTCTGTTTGATTGTGGGCTGGTCTCCTGCACAGGTTTATCCCATTTGTAAAACAGTCACAGGATAATTGAAGTTAAAAAAAGACACCAAAGTAATTACACAGAAACTTTCACAGTCTTTAGAAAAAAAGTCTCAATTACAAAAATTCTCACCACAAACCACCTATCTTGGTGCCAGCTTACCCATTCATCTTCATTTACAGCAGCTCCTCCTATTAAAAAATTGATTCAAATACTGCTGATGGATTGCAGGGAGCTCTGCTTTCAGCATTTCCACAAGCTTTGTCTCAGACTTTCCTTAAATACACTCGCCTCATAATTCCTCCCACAGAAACCAGATCCACTTATCAGTTTCCAGTGCCATCAGCCAAAAAATAGGAGTAAAATCCATGTTTTGATAGGAACTGGCACACTGCATCAGCTGACATGGAGATAACATCGCTTCAAACAAATAACGTTTATGTTTTCAGTATTACTAAATACCACAAGGATGTTTGTTATGTATTACATATAGTTCCAGCTGATTTTTTCCTCACAGAATATTAATTGTTCTGGCATTAAAATCTTGCTAACTCAATAGCTCCTTGGATGACGTTGGCTGTTTCCTTTCTAGATCATTTCATATCCTCCCAAGGAAGGGAGGATATTTTCTGTCCCGCAGAAGTTAGTCATTATAGCAGAAATCAGTGCTAAAAATGTTGTAAAATATCGTGAGGTCTCAAAAGGAATGCATTAGCACTATATCACACAGAGCTCCATCAGCACAACATATGGTACTGTATTTCTTCTTCACTCTAAAAAGAAACTCCTTTTGCTTTTAATTTCACCATTTAAAATAGACCAAGGAATTGCAACTAGCACTAATAAATAACAAAAAGCAACTAGACCAAAGCTCTTCATTTGCACTCTCGAGCAATTATTCACTTCCATTGCCCCATGAAGTCGCACCAAGCACTGTTTGCCATCTGAAAGAGGCTCTCCGTTTTTATCTCAATAACAACACCCAAGCCTCACAGCTGTGGAAGGAAAATCTCTGGGGCAAGTAGCTGGGATGCTGGTGCATGCAATCCCGAAGTTCAGAGCTGCTCATTAAATAGTGTAAAAGGTGCTTTCCCCCATCGGTGTTCCAATTACATAAATCGCTATCACATGCAGGCAGTATGTCTGCGTAGTACAATTAATTTGAGAATAACCCTCTCAGGACATCAGGAATCTAGAAACTCTGCTAAAAATTGTGATCTAAATCTCTTTTTTTTCTGGTCACCTACCAGGAACGAGACTTTTCTCCACATCTCCAAACCACGCAACTGAATGACAGACAGCTGCTTGTGCTGTGAGCAGAGGGGGACTCCCTCATGTGCTCCAAGGCTCACAGATTGTGGATTGTCTCTATTGCTTTTTGGTTGTTTTTTTCCCTACACAAAATGACTCAGGAGTACGTAAGAAATTTGCATGTGGCTTAAGAAGGAAAAATTATGTAATCATCCCCAGAATAATTTGAATTCCCAGACGTGAAGAGACCTTCATCCCATAAACATACCACTGAGTTCAATATGATTAGTCATAAGCTCCAAATTATGCATATATGGAAACATACGCAGAGTTACAGGGTGGTGTTTGAGTACTGAAATTTACAGTGCTATTTTTTTTTCTTTTTTTTTTTTTTGATAACTTTTCATCTCTATAAGCAAAAAATAAAAAAATAAAAAAGCAGACTGTGATTTTCACACACATTCTGTTATCATGGAACACGATAAGAGGGTGCTGCAAAGATATTGCAGGAAATTTTTTTGGAAGGCTGGTCTGTCTATGAAGCCACAGATGCCCCTGAACAAAGCCAAGACATTAGAGGATCACCACCCCTATCTTTTCTCCTCCTAGAACTGCGTATTCACATTATTTCACTGTCTCATAAACAAATAACATCTATGTGAAAAATAAAAGTGAACTCCTCCTCTCTGTGAATCTAAAGCCAGGCTGAAAATGTCAAATTCCAAGGCTACACTTTCCCTCTATCACAATTCTGAATGCAGCAAACAGATTTCCAATCACCTTAACTCCCAATAAGCACTGCGTGGATCTGGATTTTGCCCTGCTTTGTCATACCTTCCTCTACTACACAGACACCAACAGTGCTACATGGGGAGGAGGATATTTCTAAATAGGAGTTTGGCTGCCAGAATCCAACCTTGGGTGTTTTGCTAGAAAGTAACCCATCTGGGAACATCTCAGACACACAGTAAGCTTGGAAGAGAATTTCTTAGAGCAGATTGTAATAGTCACATCTTACCCTGTGATCTTTATTTACATCTAAACACCACTTAAACATTTCCCAGCCTCACCAATTTTTGTACTAAGAGAAGCCACCTGGATTTTATTTTATTTTTTTACTCTCCTTGGAAATCAAGAGACATATAACTGACACATACACGTGTAAGTGCTCTGGATCTATACAGTGTGCAGAGGGATATTGCTGAAAGTTGCCATCTCGATGATCTGACGCACTTTTCACTTTGTTAAAAACTTCTACAGAGAAAGAGTTTTTTGTACCACACCTACAAAATACCAGGTGATGCTTTACAACATCTCATTTTTCCTTTCCTATATTATCAATCACTATTTCTCCCTTCTTATCCTGGCTCAGAAAGCCTCCTAACCCTGCATTGTAACTTCAATTCAGGGTCTCAGAAACTCTTCTGCAGCTCCAAACAGCATGGCTGGAGCTAATTTACAGACAAGTTAGAAGTGTGCTTGCTCATAAGATACTGCGGTTTTCAAACCTGTTTTCTTTTCTTCCATCTCCTTCTCAGGAACATTTGTGTTCTGATACTTGAGTGGAATTACTCACAGCACAAAATAGGGATCATCCAAAAATATTAATTACCACTTCCCCTAGGCTGCCTACTCTGTAAAGCAGCTACGCATGAACTATTGTTAAATCTATACAGCGTGATCCAAAGCTTATTAAGTCAGCAGAGCGACTTTCTGAGACTTGGCTACAGTCGAATACTCACAATTGCCACTGAAACTGGTTGAATTACAAGACTTGAAACCCCACTTGGTCTTTTCAGTTTCCTTTGTAAATTGTACTCTTTTGTTGTTGTTGTACCGTTTTTTAATATTCTTTATTTTACTTCTCACTCAAGCTTCTCCTTTAAACAATGCAGACAATTTATGCTGGCTGGAAGGAAGCATGAATAAAATTTACTGTGAGTAAGAACAGAAATAAAAATGAGACTGATACTGCTTCAGCCCTGAAGTCCTCTGGAAGGCCAAAATAACTCTGCAGGGTTTAATCCTGCCTTATAAATGGGTCCAGCCACAGGAAACATTCGTGGACATAATGCTGCTAGGGCAGAAGAACAGCAGCCCAACCAATGGCTTTTGCTTTGCCTTTATTCTCTATCCGCTGCTCAGATTTTTCAAAGTGATTAAAAATTACTCAGACCAATACAAATAAAGCTCACAGCACCTCTATCATACCACTTGTTTTAGTGAACTGACTTCAGGCCAAATTAGATTCCGGTATCTTTGTCACCAGCTACTTTAAACTCAGGAAATGAATATATTATTTATGAAAATAGCTGTAATAACATAAACATAGTATCCCCAGTGATATTAAGCCATAAAATTAATCTATGCTGGCAAGTGTCCAACCCGGAGGCAACATCATTGTTTCATATATACTCAACTGAAAGTCAGGCACAGTTCAATATGAAAGAGGAAAAAAAAAAAAAAAAAAAAGGAAGATTGAACAAATAAATTCAGAAGCATGCAGACAGACACAACCAAAGCTAAATATTAATCTGAATATACATTCTCTGCAGGGTACAAGTTAATACACAAAGGTTATCCATATGAACCTGACTTCAAGTATGGCAAATTAGAGAGGGAAGCAACACACCCAAGCATTTAGCCATACACATTGATACTTTTAAAAGGCACAAAGTTTTAATAAAACCCATGTTAAATAAAAGTATCTGAGTAAGATGGTTTTATTGGTTTAGATGCTGTACTAAATGTTGGTATCGGATGATCTCAGAGGTCTTTTCCAGTCTTCGTGACTCTATGATTCTGCTGGTAGCTGTCATTTAGCAGCCTTTTAGTCAGGGAGATTTAATTGATAGCTGGTACTCCTTACTCCTTTTCCCAATTAGATTTCATTTCTTAAATGGGCTCCTTTATATTTCTACTATAAACAAAATTTATGTCGAGTGATAAGATAGCAACTGAATATGACATAAGCTACTGATTCTCAAAGACTACTTCTGTTAGAAATCTTTAATCTATCTTCATTTTGAAAATGAATCAAATTAGCCTTTCCTTCACAACTTAACTTTCTGTCTGAAGGTCTATGAGTAACCAGCATCCATTTTGTGCAAGGCACGACTGTGAGCACTAGGATGCTGAAGCAAGTTGGGGTACTCTGCACAGATACTGCAGATGCACTTACATAGCTGCAAATGGTTGCACTAAGATGGTAATACACTAAACCATCTGCCAGCTGAGCTGTTCTATCTCAGCAAACCTACACTTTCTTGCACATTAGCTCAGGCCACACAGGAGTCACACACAGCTGGGGATGAATAACCAAAATTGCTGGTTACTGCCACTCTGACAAAGGTACCTTACTAAGCCATTGCGTCTTGGTGCAACATATAGATGTGGTCATAATCTCAGTTTATTGAGAAGAAAATTTGGAATAATATGTGGACGTTTGTTTGATTTGCTTACTTACGCTCAGTTTAACTAGAAATAAAGCAGACCCAGCTTTCCACTGGCTTACCTCTGAACCGCTCCACAGTCTAAATGCGAAGTGGAAGGCAAAAGTAAACGAATATGTGATTTGTAAAGGTAGAAGAAATAATCTTCAGGAGGAAGAACACGCATAGACTTCCCCAAGAATAACCAGCTTTGTTTCATCCAGTGAGAGGAAAAGATTAAAGTGAATCATTGAATCACTGAGGTAGGAAAAGACGCACTGCTCACCCAGCCCAGCCATGCCCATTGACACATTCATCAGTGCCACGTTTGCACAGTTATGAACCACCTCCAGGGACAGTGACCCCACCACTTCCCTGTGCAGCTCATACCAGTGCTGATTGCTCTTTCTAAGAAGAATGTATACCTAGTATCTAACCTGATGAAGAATGTCGAGTTATTAGTGTATTTTAGGCCCTTAGAGGATCCACGTGCTTCACTAGGATGGCTGCACGGGCTCTTGTTTCAGACTCCACAGCTGCTGCTGCACCTCACACTGACCTTGCAGCTGATGGTGGGCACTTCCAAACCAGCAACCGTTGGGAAACCCACCACCACTGACCAAAACAGCAGCAGAACGCTCCAGCACTAAGATAACGAGGGCACCTTTGAGAGCTCGGATTCCCCTACAGCGTGACCTGCCCTGTGCTGAACGCAGCCTTATTTCTTCATTCATTTACCTGTTCGGCGGGGGGCTTCTCCCCTCGGCCCTCTCGTGTTGCGAAACAGCAGCCAGCCCTCGCGGCGCCCGCTGCCAGCCCGCTACCTCCGGTGTGCGGCAGCTCGGCGGGGCAGCAGCCATACGCGCGGCTGAGGTGAGCCACGCCGCCGCCGTGCGCCGCAGCGGGCAGCGAATGGCGGCCGGCTCGCTCCTGCGAACGCGGACCGCGATGCGGCGGAGGGGACCCGATCTCCTCCCTCGCGCCGAGCTGCGTGCACTTACTGTATCCTGGCCGCCGTGGTCGCGTTGCCGGTGTGCGTTCGGAGGCACGCCAGCAGGAGCAGCCTCATAGCGGTATTTCCTTCCTCCCTCCGCAGCGAGGGGCCGTGCCGCGGTCGACGCCCGCCCGTCCGCGAGCCTCCTCACCTGCCGCCGGCACGGGCGCGGCCTCGCGGAATCCGCTTAGCGCTGCGGGCGCACACCTGCATCGGCCCTGCCCCAATTGCAGCGGGCTCTGCGTGCGGTGATGGCGGAGCCGCTCTGTCTGCAGGGCCCCCCGAGGTCAGAGAGCACGCTGATTATCGGGAAGGGCAAAAGCCAAGGAGAATAGCAGCCTCGGCTACAGCAGGCAGTCCAACCAGCCTGGCCGTGAGCGCCTACTAGGGACGGGGCATCCACAGCCTCACCACCTTCTGAGTGAAGAATTTCTCCCTTAAACCCCCGATTTTTAATTTAAAATTTACCCCTTGTCTTGTCAGTATGCACCCCAAGAGAATCTCTCCCCTTCTTTCCTGTGGTCATCCTTCAAATACCAGGCGACTGTAAGGTCTCCCCCAGTGCCTTCTCCTACTTAAATAACCCCATCTTTCTCAGTTTTTCTTCAGAGAAGCACTCCAGGCCTCTAATCATCTTTGCCTCCAGGGAACCCTGGGATGGTTTGTGCTGGAAGGAACCTCAAAGACCACCTGTTCCAAACCCCTGCTGTGGGCAGTGCTGCACAGCTGGGCACTAAATCAGACTCCAATCAACCTGATCTCAAATACCTTCAGGAAAGGGGCAAAGAAAGAGCTCAGGACCAGGAAAGCCACATCCCAAGCAAGCCCTCAAGACAAGCCCCAGCAACCAGAAACAAAGTGAGCAGCCAGTAACACTGTGGAATCCTCTTCAGAGACTGATAAAAGCCAGAGTGCAGACACCAATGGCCTCAGACTGGATTCTGTATTTTGTAAATACACTGACAGCACATACAAGGTGTTTGGCACTGTGAAGCAGATAGAAAGAAGGCTTGATCTAAGAGGAAGCTCACTTTTTTTGCTTGCATGTTTATAACCTGGACTGCTTCCCTGATGTAATTTACCACAGGGCCACAATGATGCAGGTTACCTCAAGGCTGTAGGAGATAGAGAAATCTAGGTCTGCAAACCGCAGTGCCTGTTTATTTTGCTTTCAACTACTCTTCAAGTCTCCCTGTCAGATAAGGAGACAAAAATACACCACTTAAAGAGAAAGGTTCTTAAACTTCCTAGTTTAAAAATAATAGTTCTTTAGATGCTTTCTGTGGGTATCTGAGAATGACAGGTATTCAGGAATTGAGGGGTTTTAGAAGAGAAAAAGATGTACCACTTTTTGGAGTGTATTCTGGCAAGTTGTGAGCATTTTGATGAGGAGGCTTGGATTTTGCTAACACATCTTCATGCTGCAGAGCCATGCTCAACAGCCTGCACTCGTGAGGCTCATTTGGAAATTATTCAGCACAGCATCCTGTTCAGACCATCTTCATCTTCATGCAGACTTAAGAAAAAAAAAAAAAATAGTTTCTACTTGGAAGTTAAGAGCACCAAGTCTTGCATAATTGCTGAAAATAGCATAAATGCTAATTTAAGGGTAGGCAAGATCAAGCTGTTTTCATTACTGTTTTAGAAAGCATTTCTGACTTCATGGAAATTTAAAGGATTTTTGTCAACCCACTCAGCATTCTAGCCTTGAAGTTTGTTTCGATGTAAGTGGCCTACACAATACACATCTGGGCATCTGAAAGCACCTACCACCCAAGCACCAGCCATCTCTGCTTTAAAAGTCATTGCTGCCTTGTTGTCAGCATGTCCAGCAGACCTGTAGTACATCACAGAGACTGCTTCAACCTTAGGCAGCTGCCTTTCCTCTCTTGACATTATGTATAATATGTCCATTACCAGCACACTCTGACTCCCAGACTCCACCCCCACAAGGTATCTCATACAGCTGTAATGCATCAAGAAAATTTGGCAGCACCTGTGCCAAACAAGAACATCATTCCTTGTTCTTGCAGCTCTGTTCCACTGTCCTAAAATGGCTCATGTAATACAAAACATGGTCATTTCTTACTTCTACAGCCTAAAGCAAGATGGAGCGATGCTCAGAAAGAATTGCAGTGAAAGTGCCTATTTCTCAATACCTGAAGACTGAGGTAACATTTTACAATGTGTTTTCAAACATTACCAATATAAAAGCTCACCTCGTTCTCTAAGGTGAATTACCAAGGGCCTAGAATGCCATAACTGCATACACTGAAGCACACAATAACACGAAGTGTGATTAATTACTTCGTAGTATCCAGGAAATACTGCTGGACTCTCTAGAAAATGTTATCACAAGCAGTATGATATGCTATATTAAGCGGAATAAAACTGAAAGGCAATGGTTTAAATTACAGAATGGGTTAAACTACAGTAGTTCACCAAGAGATCTCTGTAAAGCTGTTGGTTGCGTTTTCCCTCATTGCCCTTTGACGTGATGTATAACCACTAAGAGAGCAAATATATTTACTGAGTCATTTCTATGGCATATGTTATTTACAGAGGCCCATCATTAAATGAAAGCATTTACTTTTACAAGCATCACTTGCTCAATTACCAACGCTGCTCCAAAAATTTTAACTCATACCTACGCACTGGGTGCAACTACACCATGTTCTTCAATCCACCCATGGGAAGCAGCTTTCCCATTCAGTGCTGGTCAGAATTGCAGCTGTAAGTTCCAGTGCTGGAAACACTTAAACATACCTTAATACCTTTACTCCAGCACATGGGATGGTGGAACAAAAGTATATTTCAGTGCCCCAATCTCATGACAACCAACATACATCCTCTCCAGTCCCATTCCTTGTGGCACTGACATCAGTCAGCGTTCTCCACCTGCACTAATGACACAGCGTGACCACATACAGCTCTGATAAGGAGCTCTGCCCCACACATGGCACTGTGACACAGGCAGGATGTATACAGCACACATCCATGGCTGTTCTCCATGATGGCCATTGCACGATGACAACCCCAGCTCCCACTTTTCCAACTGAGAAGCAAAGTATGAAAATAAATCACATTTTAATTTCACTGTCCTTATTACTGGAGAAAAACCAAGGGGAAAAAGGAATGAGGGCTCTAATGGAAGCCAGGGTCAGATACATGCAGTTAATGAAGACACATGGTTCCATTTAAAGCCCAGAAGGTAACTCTCAGCCTGAGCTAAAAAACAAGATAACACTCAAATCAATTTTCTCTGCTGCAGCGTCCACCCGTGACACCTTTTGCAAGACAAAACGTTAAGAAAAAAAAAAAAGAAAAAAAAAGAAAGAAAAAAAAAAGCCAAGCGTACAATCGGACCGAACCGGTCTGCACTGACGAGCAGCTCAGAACCCGCCGCCTTCACGCCCCCAGCCCGACCTCGCATAGCCCCGCCCCTTCCTGCACCTCCCCCAACCCCTCCCACCCCGCCGTTCCCAGACGTCCCCCTCACGTGATGGCGCGGCCGGTTGAGCGACACCGAGCTCAGCCAATGGCGTTGCGCCGCCCCCACTTGTAGGTGGGTCCTGTGGAGCCCCGCCGCGCGGCCGCGGCGAAGTTACCTCCGGGCGGGCCGGGAAGCTGCCGCTCCGCGGCTGGGAGGCGCCGCTATGGAGGAAGCCGAGCCGAGCGAGCGCAGCCCTTTGCTGGGCAGCGGGGAGCGCGGACGCGCGGCCATCGGCGCCTTCCACGGGCGGAGGTTGGCCTGCGCCGCCGTACTGCTGGCCGAGCTGCTGGAGCGAGTGGCCTTCTACGGCATCACCTCCAACCTGGTGCTGTTTCTCAACGGGCCTCCCTACGGCTGGGAGGGCGCCCAGGCTAGCCAGGCTCTGCTGCTCTTCATGGGCATCACCTACCTGGTGTCGCCGTTTGGCGGCTGGTTGGCCGACGCGCTGCTGGGCAAGTTCGGCACCATCCTGCTCAGCATGGCTCTCTACCTGCTGGGCATGCTGGCCTTCCCCGTCATCGCCGCGCCGCACACCCGCCAGGGTCTCTGCGGGGACATCCCGTTGTTCCCCGTAGAGAACTGCTCCTCTCCGGCCGCCAACGCCACGCTGGCGCCGTGCTCCCAGCTGGGAGCCACCCGTTACTGCGCCGCTGCCACCTTCGTGGGACTGGTGCTGGTGGGGCTGGGAGTCGGGTCGGTCAAGGCCAACATCACCCCGTTCGGGGCAGATCAGGTCGAGTATTGCGTGGTGGCTGCCACGGCGTTCGGTGGTGTTGGTGTGGCCCAGGGGATGGGTGTCGGCCACGTTCAGTGGGGTGGATGGTGTGCCAGCTGCTTCATGGAGGTGTTAAGCTTGGAGGGACTCGTGGCTTCCAGTTTCTGTGTAATGCAGGCTGCTGAGCCATGCCCTGTTGGATGGGGTTTAGGAGTTTGTATCATGCCTGATCTCTTCTGGCTTCTGGCTTCTGTGCAGCCCAGGGATCCGATCTGGCTGAGAGTGTCACCACACTGAGGAGCTGGATTGGGTTCTTGGTGGCTGTGGAGTAGATTGTCAGCTATCCTACTTGGTGGAGTTTGCACTGAGTTAATATGACCTCAGAGCTCAATCAGGTGCAATACCTGATAGATGTTTTAGCTTTGACAAGAGTAGCACAGGTCTTCTGAGGCAGCACTGTGGGGCCTTTATCATCCTTCTGTGATGAATGAAGGATAGAGAACAGGCGTTGTTTAGCTGTAAGGTGTTACAGCACTGTGCCCTGCAGTGGAATTTTTGTGCAGGCTGATGCTGTTCCAGATGACCGGTGGGAATTTGCTCTCTTAGCAGTAAGTGACCTGAGCTGTTCTCATAAGGACTTGTCCTGTGCTGAGATCCAGTTCAGTGATATGATTCACAGGGTCATTGCTACAGAACCAAGAAGCTTTACAGGCAGTATTTGACAGATAGCTCATAATTCACTATGCTCTGGAATGCGCTGTTATGTGTATTTTTTTTTTTGTAGCCTTATGCTAAGGTAGGATGTTGATTGTGAGGAACTCACGTTTAATTCCTGCTTTACAAATTGAGAATTTCAGATTGTTAGATATGAGCAGCTTTCTTAACAAATGCAAGTTCTGAAGAAGGGAACATAC